ATGACATGGCCCTTTATCCTGCTGAAAGTAGCCATGAGAAGATGGGTGCACTGTGGTCATAAAGGGATGGACATGGGCAGCAACAATACTCATGTAGGCTGTGGCGTTGACACGATGCTCAATTGGTACCAATGGGCCCATAGTGTGCCAAGAAAATATCCCCCACACCATTACACCACCACCAGCAGTCTGAACCATTGATACCAGGCAAGATAGATCCATGCTTTCATGTTGTTGACACCAATTTCTGACCCTACCATCTGAATGTAGCAGTAGAAATCGAGACTCATCAGACCAGGCAACATTTTTCCAATCTTCTATTGTCCAATTTTGGTGAGCCTGTGCGAATTGTAGCCTCAGTTTCCTGTTTTAAACTGACAGGAGTGGCACCTGAATCAGAATCTTATCAGAATCACTTTTATTGCCAAATGTGCTTCTCACACACAAGGAATTTGTTTTGGCTACAGAAGCTTCCAGTGTATATAAAGTGACAACACAAAATAAATATGATAAAAGAAGATAAACATTAAATAGAGCATTAAATAGATGCAGTTAGTAAAAAAATCCTAATGTTGAATTGTATGTACAGATTTGTTTTAAATATACAGGTTATAAGGTGCTGTGTACAAGTGCGTATGAGAAAGTATTGCACATGTTTATTGCACATGTGACAACACAAAATAAATATGATAAAAGAAGATAAACATTAAATAGAGCATTAAATAGATGAAGTTAGTAAAAAAATCTAAATGTTGAATTGTATGTACAGATTTGTTTTAAATATACAGGTTATAAGGTGCTGTGTACAAATGCAAATGGAGAAAGTATTGCAATGTATATTGATATAAGGTGCTGTGTACAAGTGCGTATGAGAAAGTATTGCACATGTTTATTGCACAGTAGAGGAATATTTAACTGTTCATGAGGTAGATGACCTGAGGAAAGGAACTTTTTCTGTGTCTGGCTGTTTTTGTGCTTGGTGCTCTGAAGCGCCGACCAGACGGTAACAGTTCAAACAGGTAGGGTGCTGGGTGCGAGGCGTCCAGAGTGATTTTGCGAGCCCTTTTACTCACTCTGGAAGAGTACAGTTCTTGGAGTGTAGGAAGGGTAGTGCCAGTGATTCGTTCAGCAGTCCGGACTATTCGCTGCAGTCTACAGCGGTCAGTTTTGGCAGCTGAGCCGAACCAGGCGGTGAATGGAGACTGGTGTGGTCTTCTGCTGCTGTAGCCCATCCACCTCAATGTTGAATGTCACTGAATGTGCATTCAGAGATGCTCTTCTGCACACCTCGGTTGTAAAAAGTGGTTATTTGAGTTACTGTGGCCTTTCTATCAGCTGTAACCAACCTGGCCATCTCCTCTGATCTCTGGCATCAACAAGGCATTTGCGCCCACTGATCTGCCACTCACTGGATATTTTCTCTTTTTCGGATCATTCTCTGTACACTCTAAAAATGGTTGTGCATGAAAATCCCAGTTGATCAGCAGTTTCTGAATACTTAGACCAGCTCGTCTGGCACCAACAACCATGCCTTAAATCACCTTTCTGCCACCTTCTAATGCTTGGTTTGAACTGCAGCACATCGTTTTGACCATGTCTACATGCCTAGGTAAGGCAAGGAAAGTTTTTTTATAGAGCACATTTTATACACAGTGGCAGTTTAAAGTGCTTTAGGGCGTAGCACAGTGCTCATTCAGTAAAGGCACAGCTGAACAGATGTGTTTTCAGTTTTGAATGTGTCTAATGTTGGAGCACATCTGATCATTTCTAGAAGCTGATTCCAGCATCAAGAGGCATAGTAGCTGAAGGCGAATTCACCCTGCTTTGACTGAACTCTTGATCCTAATGATCTAAGTGATCTGTTAGGTTTGTATTCAGTGAGCATATCTGTAATGTATTGAGGTCCTAGGCCATTTAGTGATTTATAGACAAGTAATAATACTTTAAAATCTATTCTGAATGTAACTGGGAGCCAGTGTAAAGACCTGAGGACAGGTGTAATGTGTTCCGCTTTTCTGGTTCTAGTTAGAATCCTGGCCACAGCGTTCTGGATGAGCTGCAACTGTGTGACTATTTTTGGGAAGGCCTGTTAGAAGGCCGTTACAGTAATCCACCCTGCTGCTGATAAAAGCATGAACAAGTTTCTCTAAGTATGCACTGTAAACAAAGCATCTGATTCTTGCAATGTTTTTGAGATGATAGTATGCTGATTAACTAACTGCTTTGACATGACTACTAAAACTCAGATCTGACTCCAGAGTCACACCAAGATTTTTGAGCATATATTTTGTTGTTTGACCTTTAGAGCCAAGGTATTCATTCACTTTGAGAACCTCATCTCTGTTCCCAAACGCAATGACTTCAGTTTTCTCTTTGTTTAACTAAAGTAAGTTTTGGCAGAGGGTGTCAATAGGGCTGAAGTCATTAGGCATTAAGTAGTTCTGAGTGTCATGAGCATAGCTGTGGTAGATTTGGTTCTTTTTCATTTTTTGGCTTAGAGGGAGCATATAAAGGTTGAACAGTAGAGGTGCCAGAATTGAGCCTTGTGGGACTCCACATGTCATGGGTGTCCATTTCGACCTATGGTCACCTATAGTGACATAGTAACCTCCCTTCAAGGTAAGATCTGAACCATTTGAGGACTGTGCCAGACAGCCCAACCCAGTTTTCAGCCTATCCAGAAGTATACTGTGATCGACCGTGTCAAATGCAGCACTGAGATCAAGCAATACCAGCACTGTTAGTTTCCCTGAAACTGTATTTAGGCGGATAAATGCATTGTGTTCCTGATTAGAAATTTGCGTTAACAAGCAGTTTGACAGGTGTACCTAATAAAGTGACCAGTGATTATATATTTTTATTTAACACCCCGTCAGCAACAACTGGTATTTTCATGGCAAAAATATTTCATTAATAAACATACCAAAAGAAAAAATCATGAATTAGATCAAATTTAACGTTTGTAAAATTTACATGATGATTCTTTAAAGATATGGCTATTTTATTCATAGAAATTGGCTCCCTTGGGCATGACAGCTGGCACTACGGGAGGCCCTATTGCACTGTACAAAAAAAAAATCCATTCATCCAGAATCTCTGAATCTCCTTTACAAGTGAAGGAGTAGCTGGTTATGTATAAACAGGCATGGAATTTAAGCAGGACAATTATGGCACAAAATCACACCCAAGAGATGTTTTCTTTTCAACTTGTCTGAGCTGGCCAACCCAACACAGACCACAACAAGCAAGAGATAAAATGCAAAAGTAACTCCAATATTGATTCAGGAATTTAATAAGTTTGGATTCAGCATTTGTTTTTAACACTGTATCACTCTCTTTCTCACATGCAGGTGAACGCGGCGCACGCGCAAATGGGGAATCTGCATGAATGGGTTCGCAGCTGTACAAATCTACATTTGCTGACAGACAGTTTGGGCTAATAAGAATTAGGGGAACTGTTGGACTGACAAATTTTAATTGGATGAATGTTTTTTAGTCTTATGCCTTGGCATAAAAAATACATATAATAAAAACATTTAGATCATTTACTTTAATCATTACTATTGGAATGTGGAGAAACTTTCAATCAGCACAACCATTTTCTGAAGACAATCACCTTAGAGTGTTGAACCAGATGTTGTTGATAGGCTTTATTTCAGTATGTTGCTGTACTTCCAACTATAACTGAACACTGAGTAAAGAGCAGGGCTTTCTTTTTGTGCATCATTTCCTCATTGCAAACTAACAATAAGAGGGGCGTGGTTAACAATTTTGTGGCTGAAGTCCTCAAATTGATGTCAACAGACATCAAACACAGAAGCAAATAATCAGACCTTGATTGAAGATTACCAAATCAAACATTTAACTTGCACCTTAAGAATAACAACTTAGCAAGCTAGCAAAGTAAACACTGTAAAAATAACACACACTTAATAAAAAAAGAAGAATTACTTAAAATGTAAAAAAAAAATATTATACTAAAGAAATATATATTAAATTAGACTATATACAACCTACCAATGAAAAGTCACAGCGAGGAAGAGCAGAAAGTGCTGAAGTTAAAAGAGACAACAGTGGTATATAGAGAAACAGAAAGCGCTGTCTTAAGGAGATGTGAGAGGGATGACAGCGAGCGTCTGTTCCTGCATCTGGCCTTTGCCCCCCCTCTATAAACCACACAGCAGGAGTCATTATCAGTGTGGGGGGGTTCAGTTCATCCCCATATTACCACCTTACCCCTCCATTAACCATCAACCACCCCAGCAGCACACACCCTTCATCTGATGTTAACTATATAAGCGCTCATATCTGTCACACTAATGGCTATTGTTATGCTGATATGCACAGTAGGACTGACACACAGGTTGCTCCCACTTCAATCATAATAGAAGCGAACAAGCAAGATAATACACGAACGTACCAGCGTGTCACACTGGTTTTACAGACCTACATATAAAGCATAAAATGGAGGGAGGAATATCAAATTGTCAACTTTATTAAATAATGCGTTATTAAATTATATCTGCTCTGATTTGCATAACAGTACACTAAAAAAAATCTGAACATTAGACAGTCAAGTTAAAAATTCTAGTTTACTTATTAGATTCAGATGTTTTAGAGGTGATTAGTGGTCTTTTAATCATTTAATTCAGAAAATCAGACGTACAGATAATTCTATTTTTATTGTAATATGGTGTATGAATATATCCCCATGAAAAGAATACAGATATAAAATGGAATTGTGTACATAGATGCTGCTGAAGTGAACATTTAGAGGAGAAATAAACAGACAAATTGAAAAAGTGCTATAAAAACACTTAAAAGTTTAGTTGTGATGTTTTCTTGCCATTAGACGGACAATAATTTATGCATTTTCGCCCTAAAATGAAAATAGTTTTTAAATTTTGGGTTGATAATTCGGATAATTGGAGGCTGAACTGAATAGAAAGCAATGTAAAGCTTTCATTTAAATCATACTGGTCACTGATACTGTAAGACACAGATGTTAAAAATATTTATTTTCTTAAAAGTCAGACTTATATTATTAGAAAAAGCAAACATGAACAAAATGACAGACCTTAAAAAGTAACAGATTAGACACGTTACATTAAAACAAAAACTCCACACTGACACTACATCATGTAAACAGACAAAACAAACAAAAGACAAGTGAGACACATTTCCCTTAATGCAAGATGAGATATATAAAGTGACAAATGAATGAGCATTTCTATCATGGCCAGAACATGACAAAATAATACTGTACTACCTTTCTGCACATAATGATAGCTTACAGAGATGGACGTCTGTAAAGGAAATCAAGCAGACCATTGGCTGGAGGAGGACAGAATGTCCTCTACCAGGTGTTTATACACCCAGGCATCTCCTTTGAGCCGCTGTCGACGGATCCCCACAACCTCAGGCTTCTGCAGGAGACAAACCTCCAGCTCGAACTGCATGGTGACCTTCCCAAAGTCTGACTGCGTGTGGCATTTCAGAGTATAGCTGACAGAAATAAGAGGACATGATTATACCATTTATTTATTTACTTATATCAGCAGTTTTCAAAGGTATTGTTTTAACTCAAAGCCATTGAGTGTCTGATAATTCACTGTAAATGCTATGCATCATTGGGTAAGATACTTGAAACAAATAAAGAATTATCAATTACAACATTACAATTGTATTCAACTTATTTAAAATGACTTTCTCTGAAAAGTAATTTAATTACTCAATAACCAAACTTAAAAAAACAAAACTATTCAGCTTCTTTAGATTTAAGCCAATCATGAGCCAATCATGATGTATCAAAGCAAAAAATTCCCAAAGCAATGAAACAATATTTTATGATACAATATTGGTGTAAATATGACTCAGTTAATTTCGTCTTAAGCATGTTTAATTGTCTAGATAAATGAAACATTCTAAGCTGAAAAATATTATATAATATATTTTTAAAAATATGTAAAATATAGAAAAACATATACATTTTATTTAGAAAAATATTATTCTGCAAATGATGTGTATATACAAAAAATACTCTGTATCACGGAATTGATTTAACCAGAACTGCTCAATTTATTTACAATATCTAAGGCAATTACATTATAAGTGCAATTTAATTGACAAAAAATTTAAAGTAATCTATTACTTAAATTTTGTGTAGAAAAGTAATCTAATTACAGTTACTAGTTAATTAATTAATAGGTAATAGTATTTAGTTAATTATACCTAACACTGATACTATGATTAAAGCCCTATGCAATTTGTGTTAGTTTGATTCATGTGTATATATTGGACTTCGCTTGTATGGTTAAACTAATTTGAGTAATCTTCAATTTAACAGCTATTTATTAAGAGTTAAATAGTTTTGTAAAACAAAATTTTAATTTGATCAACCCCAAGAAAAAGGCTTTTATTTTGAAAGAATTGCAGTGAAGATGCTTGAGTTTCTGTGCAGTCTTGATATAACAAACTGACCACAGATTTTCTCAGGGTTGCTCTCTAAAGGTTAACGGCAAATTTAATTCCCTGGAAAATCTCACATTTTCTCAAACAATAATAAATAAAAAATAATCCTAGATATATTTTCTGTATTTCTGCAGTAATTGACAAATCTGCTTGTAATCATTCATTCATTCATTCATTTTCTTTTCGGCTAAGTCCCTTTATTAAACAGGGGTCGCCACAGCAGAATTAACCGCCAACTTATCCAGCATATCTTTTATGCAGCAGATACCCTTCCAGCCGCAACCCATCACTGTGAAACCCATACACACTCATTCGCACACATAAATATACTATGGGCAATTTAGCTTACCCAATTCACTTGTACTGCATGTCTTTGGACTGTGGGGGAAACCGGAGCAACCGGAGGAAACCCACGCAACGAAGGGAGAACATGCAAACTCCACACAGAAACGCCAACTGACCCAGCCGAGGCTCGAACCAGCGACCTTCTTGCTGTGAGGCGACAGTACTACCTACTGCGCCCCTGCATCGCCTGTTGCTTGTATTCAACTTTTTTAATGATTTTTTACTTAATTAACAAGTTCGAAATTTTCTCTGATCTTTATTCTAGCACTGCATGTTCAACATGAACTTCAAAAAATAATAATAATAATACATTTTAGAAAATCAGCGTGTGCTTTTTAGGGGTTTAACATGTGCTAGATTATTAAGTATATAATAGTATTTGCAAGTACTATTTAAGAAAACTTTTTACTTACCCCTTCTGAACAAAGTCCACATTCTTCTCTGGTAATATGCTGAGAATCTGATTGAGCACTTGGTCAGCATTCGTTTGATTGGTGAGAGTTACATTATACTGAGCCTGAAAAATAATTCAAGTTCACAGTCAAATATTACAGATAAGATCCAAAAATATAAATGTTTTATCATCAATCAATTAAATGGATTTTGAACCCTTTTTTTAGTACACTTCATTACAAAGTTAGTTTAAAGGGGCCATGAACAACCTCAATTTTCATTTTTTTTTTGTTTTGTTGTTCAAGGTCTTCTTGTTAAAAAACTAATAAAAATTAAATAATAATAATAATAATAATAATAATAATATATATATATATATATATATATATATATATATATATATATATATATATATATATATATATATATATATATATACATACATACATACATACATACATACATACAAACAATCAAAAAATAATATTTGCCAATAACTGACACTTTGATATACACATACAAACTGTAAACACAAATGAGTTTGGAACCATTTTAACAGCACTTAGTTGTCAATCACTACAAAAGAGATTTGCTCATGCAAATATGTCTGATAACATAATTCATATAACTTGTAAATATTTTAGAAATGTGACAATTACAGCTAGATACTTTGTGTTCCCTCTTGACTTGTATTGTTTTTGTCACTTAAATTTTGGTCCCACGCTCTGATTTACTGAACAACCAATCAAGAGCTCCGTCTTTCGCTGACGATGTGACGCTGCCCAAACATTGGCTTAGTGTGTCTGGGCTTTAATAGTTTTGGCCCTCAATTATCTGTTGAAGCAGAGATTATCCACCCTATTAGATCATAGAGTAGAACATTCCAGAACCTGCGGTTTTGACAGACTGGTTTCAATATAAGCTGATTTTAAAGGAACCACAAAGCATCGAGTTCTGAAACTTACAGGATGTTTTTACAGTACTTTGAGCTCTTAGGTATAAAAAGATGAAAGGAATTCATCTTTCCCAGTTCATGACCTCTTTAAAGCACATTCAAAAGAATGACAGTGAGCACAGTCAAAATTCAAGGTTAATTTTACTTTCACTTTATGAGACAATGACTGGACTATGGGCTATATAATGACCCCAGAGGACCCCTTGGAAGTGTACAATAGATGGCCTGCCCCTGGTTATGAAACATTCATTTAAAGCATCTCAAATTTGAACTTGTGTTCTATTCAAAATAGGGTTAGAGCCATTTTTTTCTTTTGCCTTTGGACAAGTTGACAGTCCACTGGTCCCCATCCATATTCATTGAATGTAAATGAGTAGCTTGGAGATTCAATTATACGTCTCCTTTTTCATTCAATCATTCAAATAAAATGTAAAAGAAAACAAAGAAATATAAATATATGAGGTTTATAACAACAAAAATTTGAGTAAATAATCTAACTATCACTTTTAAAACTGTTTGGTTGACAACGAATTAGTTTGTAACTATTAGAGGTGTCACATTTAAATCAATGTGCTTTGTTAGAGCAGTGATAACTATGCAAAATAACTGGAATATGGGTAAACAAGCACATTTTATTCATTGAAAAACACAAAGGACAAACAATACAAAGAGATGATGATTGGTACCTTAATTTTGCGTGGGCCATCTCGAGGTCCTCTCTTTTTACTGGGTGTAAGCATTGTAATGACTTTATCCAGGCCTCTTTCCAGACTGCCAAAGACTTTCCCTCCCTTACGCTTCTGCCCACTGTCCACCTGACAGCCTGCCAGGTCCAGTGATCGAGACCTGGGCATAAGGGAAATAGACTTTAGAATAAGATTGCATGTGTCTGTAATTGCAAAACTATCGCAATGCAAGTTTTTGCCAAGAGGTTATTATTGAGGAAAAGGGCAGATAAAATTAGAAATGACTCAACAGCAAACCACAAAAAAAGTAAGCACAGCAAGTGCTGCATCTCACTTTACATGCAGGGAAGGTACTGCCATCAAGTCGCAAAGTAGTCTAGTCATATAAACAGCTATGGGGGAAAAATGAGAACATTTGAGTCCCCTTGAAAATTCCTAGTTTCCCTGGATTAACTATGTGTGGGGTTATGGAAAAAGAGAAGATAAAGGCCACATTTCAAATAAAAATGATTCATTCTTTCCAGAACATAATTGTCAGGAATAATATTGAAATTTCAGGGTTATTGCACAACATAATGATTTCGTAACTGTTGTGAAATTTGTATTTAGATCTAAAAATGAATAAGTCTGTTTGAAAAAAATGGGAAAATGTTTTTTATTATTATTATTATTATTTTAAACTGTTCAAAAATGTCTCCAGTAACTTATCGAATAAAACTAAAAAATATCTCATATTAATCTCTTATAGGTGCAGTAGGTGATTGTCTTCAAAACATTTTTTTGTTGTGCTGGTTGAATTTCTCTTCACTTTTTAATAGCGGACAATTGCCATAATTCTGATAAGTAGCCCAAAGTGTCCATCAGCAAATGTAAATTTGTACATCTGCACACCCCGTTCACACAGATCCGCATTTATGTGCACACAATAGAGAGAGAGAGAGACAGCAGAAAAAACAAATGCAGAATAAAAACTTTTTAAAATCCTGGAGGAAGGATGACACCATGGCTGAAGTATTTCTTTTAGACAGGTAATGTCATGTTTTAAAACTATTTTATTCACGCAAAGCTGATGTATATTTTGTTGTGTTACGAATGGGTTATATGCACAGAAGTGTTCTTCAGCCACTGAAATCTTCCGGTCAAAATATTGATTTGACTATTTTCAATTTCATAAGGTATGTTTTACAGCATCGGTAATGTAGATTTTTATTTAGCTTAAAAACAAAACATCATTAAATAGCGCTATTCTGCCTGGCCTGCTTTACTGAGGTCAAGCTGGTTTTTACATCACATTGGTTGATTTATGAACAATGACAACTCATGACGCACTCCCTATACTGTTTTCCATGCTACTCTGAATATCTGGTCTGAAATAGCATGCAAGTATGGGTTAGTAACAAGTGTAATTCCTGCACGCTGCCGGCCAACCACTAAGCATATTGTCGTCGCTTTAGGACAAAGAGCATGAGAAAGTGAGACCAGAGATCCTTGCATGCATGAAATATTGCACATTAACTGAAAACGTGCTAGATACAATACAGTTTTTGTTCAGAATTGTAGTATTATAAAAAGTACTGTAAAAATATTTGACAGGATCTAGTGGGTTGTCTACTGTCATCTTTAAGGTGCGCGTATGTAATTTCAGGAGGCGTGGCTTTGGGTGGCAGGGGAAGCACTGTGTGTCAAAGAAGTTATTGAAACAGAGAGAAATTTAGCAGATTACCTACTGCACCTTTAATTTCATCCATAACGGCTGTAATGGTTGTTGAAAAATCAGCTTTACCATCACAGAAATAAGGTACATTTAAAACGATTCAAAATGAGGTATAATAAATGTATTTTTGAATATTATTTTAAAATGTATATTTTCATATAAAAAAATTACTTAAAACTCTTTTCATCATATGCTGTGTCAGTGTTTCTTTCATTTGACTTAAGTCAGAAAAAGCAACAAATGAATAAAATGCAAGTTGAAAAATAAATAAATAATTCAGAAATTATAAATAAATAGAAAAATGCATTTCAAGCATATAGTTGACAAATTTGCATCCCAAAAAATTGAAAATCCTAATTATGAACTATTATTATCATTATTACTTTTATTTTCCCAACTGGCCAGTTACACACTCTTCACCAATAAATTCCACAATCTGCCTCTCTGTTTAAGCTCTTGTGTAATTTAGGCTTTTTTCACAAAAATAAACACAGTTCTCTACCTTCGCTCAGGGCTAAAAGCCAATATATTGAGTTCTCCTTGTTGGCCGTTCTGCTGCTGTTCCACCTCTCTCCTGCGGGACCCTTCTTTAGTGGCACTGCCCGCTCCTGCACACACATACACAGACACAGACCCAGGACAAACACGTGTCACTACATGCTGCACATCGCCGCAGTACTGGGAACAGCGACATGGACACCTGTCAGTATATACGCTTCGGGAATTGTCTGATACACAGACACACACACACATACAAGCTGCGTCCCCAGTGTGCTCCTGTCCAGTGCAGGAGGTGGTGTGTGACAGTAACGAGGTGGACACAGAGAATGTTGGTTGGGACATGAAGACTTTTCCCCAGACACACACATTTACACATACTCTCTGGTCAAAGTGACTCAAACCCTAGATGTTAGACAATGCATGATAGCCAAACAAAACATACACTTTTTGAACTCCAGATATGCAATTTAAGTGTCTATGTTACTTTGAGGAACTAAAGCAAAAAATAAGAAGCATTTAGGACTTTGTATAATTTATCAGGGAGTATATAAGGAATTTATAGGAGGAATGATCAAAGTATTGACACCACTCAGTGTCTTGATTACTCGGATGGATGGATGGATGGATATAGAGGTCATGCAGTAAACTCAGGGCCCCTATTCAAAAAAATTATAATTATCTTACCACCAAGGGTTGTCCTAAATAGTAATATAGTTATACTACATTTTAGCTAAAGGTTTTCTTTTTAAATCTATTCACAAAGCTGCTGACAAAAAAAAAACTAAAGAATAGAGATAAGTCTTAAAGGAAATTTGAAAATTACCTACAGTAAAACAGTTCAGTTTTTAATGTAATGTAATATATATATTTATTTATTCAATGCTATGTCAGCAACCAAGGCTTTTTCATGGCAATAACATTTCATTAATATATATATAATTAAAAACAACAAACAAAGGAATACATAAATTAAATAAGGAAATGTCCTTAATTTTTTATAAAAATCATTTTATAAAAAATCATCTGGAATCTTAAAAAACAGGACAGTCCAGAAAAATGTGTTTCACATTTTAGTTGTTAACCCATTCCGCCAATCTCTCCGTTAAAACTCAACTGTTTAACTCATGGGGATTTTTTTTAAAAACTGCCAAATTTGTATTTATAGAAAATATTTGTGAAATTTTTTTTTTGGCCTTTTTAATATATATTTTGAAATGCATTTCTAAATATATTTAAAATCTTTTCTTACTGGTTTGGGATTACCCCTGCAATAAAAGGCAAATAACTTATTAAAAGCTCATTGTGGTCAAATGTTCTAACAATGTTTTCAATCCAAGGTAGATTGCCAAAACGGTCATTTTAAGATGGTTTGTAGGAGTCCTCTTACGCGTCTGATTTCATCAAGTTGGGAGATGGTTTTAATGATAAAATGCTTTGTAAAATACTCTTAATTTTTAGAACTGATATGCCAATTATTTAAAAGAAATTTAAATGAACTAAATGAGCAATTTAAAATGTACTTTCAGCTTAATTTTTCTTTTCCTTTTCTTGTTTTCTGAATACAGGCAGACACCACTTATAAAATACTAAAAATGGTTTTGTTTCACAGTCAACTAAGGTTCAGTTCATATTTACAACAATGTCAATCTAAACAAATGTTTTCATTTGACACTGAAGCCTGCATTTATGACTGAGCAAAATTCTACCACAACAGAAATTACAATTTAAAATGCATTAAAATAGGAAATGGTTGAACTGAAATAATCTTTCACATTTAACAATTCTTATAATAATATAGTATATTATATAATTTAAAATCAAAATGCAACAAAATTCTCATCAGCCACAAACTTTGAACAGCAGCATATGATTCAGTGCACAAGCAGCTTAAATGCATGCATTTGGATAACAAAACCTAAAGTAAAGTATACAAAAGTGCACTTGTGGTACTTATGTTTACTCCATTCATCATTTACCTCACCTTTGTTTACTTCGCTGCTCTTGTTGTTGTTGTGGTTGGGTGTTGTCATTACAGTTCTGTTGGATTTGACCTTTCGGCTGGATGTTGGAGTTCGCGGCGCTGGCAGAGCAAAAACATCTCCATCTGTGCCTGGCACTGCCAGGTTCTCTTTATTTTCCTTGGTTCTCTCACGTCTCTCTGGCTTCTGTCGGCAGGGTCTGCTGTGCTCTATGACGGGGGAGTAAGCCATTTCATTCCACTTCTCTGTTGTTTCAGGGTACAGCTTCTAAAGAAGTCAGTGAATAAAGGGTTTTCTGCGTTACTACTACAAAGAGTTTTTAATTTAAAAATCAGCTAATTGTTCATTTGTAAACCATAAACTTTGTCATTGAATGTGCACATTTTTTCCCAGGCTTGCTCCATGTTTTATGAAGGTCATTTTTGAATTAAGAATTTTTTAGGAGCTTTTTTTTTTTAACAATCTGTCAGCGTTCTCTAAATGTAAACTTACAGTGAGAAGAAAACAGTTTTATTAGCAACATTTTAAAGTGCAAAAATTAAACTTTCAACATTAAACATTATTAAACATTATATATTGCGTTCAAATAAACAAATCTACTCAAACAGGTTTGGAACAAGTCAAGAGTGAGTAAATGATGACATAACTTTCATTTTATTATGAACTATTCTTTTAAAGGTGCACTAAACCTGTTTGACCACAATGTCAGACTGACGCTGCATCCGAAATGGTATACTTCACCATACATAGTATGTGAGAAGAGCAGTATGTCAGAATTCATAGTATTTATAAAACAGTAATAGCCGGCAAGAGATTGTGTAGAGTGCATCACATGATGGCATGCGAGAAAATTCATGAATGGGATAAATGCGACATAACTGGTGTGGGTGAGTCATGTGATAATGACAAATGGCAGATGTAGTATATCCAAGTGCCATTCATACTATATGGAACTCAGTGTTTTTCTAACAGTCGTGTTAAATTCAAATGTAGTATCTACTATAGTAGTAAGTCATTTCAAAGCAGCTTGAGTCTCAAAACAAAAAGGGGCGTGTCTAGTAATAATAGTGAAGATTTATTATATGGGGTTAGTCCTATTGGGTTTGTTTTGGTGCTTCAAATATCAATATTGTTCGACGACATTTGATTTGCACCTTTTCATTTTTGAATCGCTCTCAACTCCAAAAATGAGACAAGATGTAGATATTTGCAAAAAGAAAACAAAAATAGATATTTTGGGTTTTTTGCAGGGCACGCACAATTTGATGTCACAAATTTTTTTATTAAAACTTTCTGCAGTAAGTCCATATTTTTTGGTGGATATTAATAATAATGGATTTTGGCTAATACAAACACAAAGTTGTCAAAGTTGTTCTGAATTTTTTTTTTTTAGATGACCAAAATGAAAGTGCTACTCAAAAAAATACAACTACAAAATAAAATTGATAAATTTATGAACTGCAGCAATTCATTTAATTAATGTGAATGATGTTCTTAAAATCAGTTTGAAAGTAATTTAATGGATCATAAAAACTTCATTACAGAACAAATTATTGTTTTTTTAACCAATGGATCTTTTAATAGTTGCTTGTCACCACCTACTGGCATAATGTTATTTGATTTAATCTTCAATTGAAGCTACAAGTTTAGTTTAAAAATGGGATATATTCTATTGTTACCACACTATAAACTATTATCCCAGTGCTTTAATAATTTGAATGCTTGTAACACAGAAACAAATATATTGTGTGGCTGAAAAGTTCTTAAAATGCTGTTCTCAAAGCTCCAGGTCAGAGGAAATGCAAAAGTAGACCTGAATGCTGCTGAAAACCTGTTGAAAAGTTAGTAATTCCTGTGGAAGTTTCCATCGAGATCCTGATTTTTAATTTTGTAATTACAGGGTTTCTGCAGGTTTCACCAAGTTTAAATAAATGGATGAAATTTTATACTTATACAGGGCTAAATGCTAAGCATTTTTTCCAGAATATCCCAGTTGGAAAATATTCAAAAAATTATTATAATGAAATAAATTTAATAAAACAATAGTAATACAAAATATAAGTCAGATCAGTATCCTCAGCAGTAAATAAATTGAGAACTTTTAAACAAATGTTACGATATGGAAAGTAATTAAATCCTATTTTTAAATAAAAAGATGGGATTGTTGGTGATTGTATGGGTGTTAATGGCCAGATTGGGTAGCTATACATGATCAAAGTAAATTAATACCTGCTAAAAAAAAAGATTTAAGACATACAGCACAATATTTCAGTAGATTTAAGACTTTAAGGCCTAAAATTTAGCTTTTGAGATTTAAGAGTTTTTAAGACTCTTTAAGACTCCGTGGATACCTTGGATTAATTATGTGGCTCTACTCGCCAAACTCAATCCAGTTGTTAACAAGATAAACAAAATAAGATGATTATTTTATGTGAAACTGCACATTAATTTGCTTTCACTACAACACTATTCTAAATTATAGCAATAAACTATTCCCCAAAGCAAGATGTAGACAAGGAAAGTGTGGAGAAAAATCCCAGAAGCTAAATGTATAAAAAGAAGGCGGCAGACTTTGGCTGTATAAGCAGCAGTGGACAAGAGGGAAGAGCGGACAAATAAAGAGAAGATGGAGGCTAACCATGCGTGGAGTGTTTGTGGTATGTGTGTTCTTGGGTGTGAGAGGGGTCCAGGGATTCTCGTCATCGTAGCAATCAGGGGGAAAGACCATAGAGCCGAGCACCACTGGGTGAACACCATCATCATCCTCAGTGAAGCGTAGACTCTTCTTCAGCTGGCACACAGATACACAAAAACATACAGCTAGAAGCCACTCCACACTATACATCAAGCAAAACATGACTATTATTAATAATTGAACAAATCTGTCACTCTTGTGTGTGACTTTAAAAATACTGCATCAACTGAGCTATAGTAAAAAGCAGGAGTCTGCTTTTTCCCCAAAGTCTGTTCTCTATTTCCATCCATTTACTGAACATGTACATCAACACAGTGATAACTACACAGATAATGCAAAGCAATAATCAGTTTTAAGATGATATTAATAATTCATGAAACTATAGTGATGTCAAAGTCCAATAATTTGTGCATTTAACTAGATGTATTTCACTTTTTATGTTCTATAAATTATTAAACAAAAACCCATGCCAGTGGGTATGGGTATTGTATACAGATGAAAACAAAACTATTAGCCCCTCTGTGAAATTACTTATTTTTCTTTAAACTATTTCTCAATTTATGTTAAACAGAGCAAATACATTTTTCACAGTATTTCCATTTTTATTCTTATGGAGAGTTGTAATTATTTTAGTTTAATTAAAATGACATAACATTTTTAAAAAGATATCTAAAAGGTCAATATTATTAGATCTAAGTGACTATTTTTTGATTGGCTACAGTACAAGCTAATATATATATATATATATATATATATATATATATATATATATATATATATATATATATATATATATATAAGATTAGCTTATTATCCTAACTTGCCTAGTTAAGCCTTTAAATTGCACTTTAAGCTGAAGACTAATATCTTCCTGCAAAATATCTACTAAAATAGTATGCGCTGTCTTCATAGCAAAGACAAAAAAGTTGTTATTTAAGCTATTATGCTTAGAAATAGGTTGCAAAAAAACTTCTCTCCATTAAGATGCACCTGGAAATATTTGAAAAAGAATTCAAATGTCTAATAAATTAGCCTTCAACTGTATATTGTCTCAAAATGACTGTAGAACTTTTGCTGCACGAGATGAGAAAACATACTTATAGTTCACTGGGTCATTTGATATTTATTTCCTCCTCCCTAGCAGAAACTTTAGAAATGATTTTCAATTATAGTGTTTTTTTATTTGTAAAGCTGCTTTGACGATTTGCACTAAGTAAAACACTATAGAAACAAACATGACTTGACTATAAGTACATTATGCACTCATAATGTCACTAAACATAACACTAAACTCACTTGCATATCCTGTAAAGGAGAACACACAATGTCAATCACAGGGCATTCAGCTCTCAGACGCACAGGACGGCCTTGACGCTTCTTAGCCAGCAGTAAAAGGTAGGTTGCTGTTATTTGATCATACTTCCACTGAGGAAACACACAAAGCAAACATTTTACTTGTTGTAAGTGATTGATGTGTAATATTCTTAATAGTTATAAGGGTGTTCGCTTATATATGAATAAAGGCCCACAGTTAAAAGCAGAATGATAAACTGGCATCTACTGACATCTAGTGGTCATTGTTATTAATTCATGTCAAGAGGAAGCAGTTACTATTCAAACTCTCAAACTACACCACTAATAAAAATAAATCCTTTAATACTATTTAATACTAAATCTGAGGAGTTTTCAGCATTAATAATGACAGGATATAAACTATTTGGAGTAATAGCATCATGGAAATACATCTAATTTTAATAGGATTTCTGCAGGTGTCATAAAAAGTACTGTAATTTTAAGACTTTAATTCAAAGTATGTTTGTGGTTAAGAAACAACATATAAAAAGTAATTTTTATGCCACACAAACAAAGATATTCATTCTTCATTTTGCATCTCAAAAAAAATAAATTAATTAATTAATAATGCGTATAAAAAAACATTTATGTGAGCCTTATTCCCTACCTACTCTTGTTTGTATTTTTCTAGCAGATTTATAAACTGTGTATTTTAACATTTTATGCTTTTTAATTATGAATTACTTGCTGCCTTCTCTTACTGTAGGATGCTTTTGACAAGTGTGTCTGCTAAATACAAAGGTAAGATTAGCATCTGCAGAAACCCTATTAAAGCATATTTAAAGAAAAAAGATATTTTGAAATGTAACCATATTTTACAGTATTCACTGTATTTTTGCCCCAATAAATGCATTTTGGAAATTGAATTCCTTAAAAAAAACATACATTTTGTTAATAATAAATATACCACTGATTAGAATTCATCATTCATTCGTTTTCTTTTTGGCTAAGTCCCTTTATTAACCTGGGGTCGCCACAGCGGAATGAACCGCCAACTTATCCAGCATATGCTTTCACGCAGCGGATGCCCTTCCAGCCGCAACTAATCACTGGGAAACTAGAATTCATCAATAATATTAAATTCCTCTACCTCAGACACAAGCTGGATAGTTCGTTGTTTGGACTGTTTGAAAGTCACCGCCATTTCTGTGATGCAGTCTTCATCTATATGACCCAACTAAAAAGAAACACATGCTATAATTAATTGAACAACACACAAGCTAAGAAAGCTAAGCTAAGATATGATTAAAATACATTATGAATGTGCATCTATGAAGAAACAATGAGCTCTGCTGAAAAATAAATGCATCATCTTTGTTCAAAAGGAGGACTATATTATATTAAATCTATTGGACCTAAAATACTGAAGACATGCAGATTCATTACAACAACTAAAGCAGATAGAATTTATTAAGTAACCACTATATTATCATAACAGTTTTTGAAGGCACAACATGTAATTTTCACCACATATTCACAACAAACAAAGGCATTGTTTGGTGTGAGATAATGGAACTTGTGCTCTATATTACATTCTAAAGTACTACTGGAGAAATCATGTTCATGCATGAACTAAAGTATTCAAGACTTATTATCGTGGAAGTATGTTGCAGAGTAAGGGTGAAAGCTGTCAAATTGAAACGAGTGCGCTGAAACAATTGCTGATAAGACACAAAAGCAGCACAGCTTTTATTATTCCACAGTTAACCTCAGACAGTTCTTCTGGTCATGATCCCATAGGAAAGAAGCAGCGCTGTTTTTTTACGATACAAACATTTAAGGGTTCTGTTATAAAGCTGCTCTGTGTAGTCTACTAACCAAACAGACATCGAGTGCGTAACATTTAAAATAAAAATATATATTGTTAAAAGTAAAAATTATTTATCTGGAATTAAATATTCCTTGAAGCATTTGAGATTTTACAAGTATATACTTCAATATGGTTTGCATATTTTGATGAAAGTCATCTTACATATTGTGCCATTAGGCTCAAAAGCCCACTTCCACTACTGGAGTCATGGAAGCATATGATGTGACTATAAGCATGTAAATAGAGCTGATCTTACTGGATATTTACTGTGCCACTCCACTGGTGTGCTGTAGCCCCTCATAACCCATGGGTGATCAAGCAAATGTTTCACTGTCAAACGCCTCTTTGGGTCCACCTGCAGGAGAACAAAATAAACTGTCATTGCTTTATAAAACACATCAAACACACACAAAAACACACACAAACCATACACACTACCTGCATCATTTGGTTTAGAAGCAGAATACTAGAAGGCGAAAGCCAGTGTGGGTTGCTGTATTTGCCTCTCTGTCAAAACATAAGCCAATTTTATATGACATACGATCACACATTTACACAAGACAACTTTTTTTTTATTCCAGTAAGCTAAGAAATGTGTAGATCAACAAAATGTGTATTTATGTGTGTTTAAATGCTACTCACAAGTTATGCAGCATGAATAGACTTACTGTGATTTTTCTATAGAGAACCATACAATTGTCATCATCAAATGGTAGAAAACCACACAGTAGTGCATAAAGCAATACACCCATACTCCAAACATCAGCCTGAAACACACACGCAATCGATGAGATCCCAATACATGAACATGCTTTATTAGGCAAATATATTGACAAATTAACAATTGACTTAAAGGGACCCAAAAAGAACAATTCTCAAAATTTGCTCATCCTAAAGTGGTTACAAAGCTTTATGAGATATTTTTTCTGTCGAAAACAAACAATATTCTGAAGAAAGCTAACAAATAATAATAATTGACATTCATGCAAGCAAAAACAAATACTATGGAAGTCAACGATTACCAGTTTTCAAAATTTTTCAAAACAACTACAATTTTTATGTTCAACAGGAAAATGAACTCAATCCGGTTTGGAACAAGTGAGGGGTGAGTAAATGATGGCAGAAAATGTTTAATTTTGGGTGAACTATAGTTGCGTCCCAAATGACACATTATACACTTACACACTCAACCATAGTGTTTAAGTTTGGTGTTGTCCCAAATGGAACATTATTTTACCAGTACAAATTTTAACAGTTGCAGTATTAGTTAAATAAATAACCAAATAGTACCATTCAAACTGTACAACTACAATCACTATCAGGAGGCGGTATAATGACCTACTAAAGAGTATTTTGCTTGTACAATCCAAAATAAATAAAGTTATACAACATCAGCACCTGTAAAGTCCTCCCCTTCTGCTAAATAAGCAAGGATGAGACCGTTCGGAGTATTAAGTGTTCAACATTCCATACTTCTTTCATTTCTCTTCATCCATTTATTTAAAAAGCCTTTATTGTTTCATTTTCAGTGTGAATACACTACTTACACTATTTATACTTCAAAACTGGTGTAGAAGAGTGTATAAGTACGTGACTTGGGATGCACCTTATTTAGGGCTGCAAGATATTGGAAAAAATTTACATTGCGATATATTTTCTTCTCTGCAATATATATTGTGACATAATTACTTAAATAGCTCTAGGTCATTACTTTGGATGATTTTATAGGGGAGTTAAATATAAATATATATTTTATGTAATTTATTATATACATAAACCACAGTCATTAATAATCACAATAGAGCAAATATTAAATGAAATAAACTGTGCTTTATGGCTTTGTGGAGAGAGCAACAGCATTCAGGTACAGGAAGAGAGAGAATTGAGTTTATTGCCATACCAGCTTCTATGGCTATGTCATGACAAAAAAAGGTCAAATTTACAACATTTTATAAATAACACTTATCTATAATTATAAAAATATTCTAACAATTAAAAGTCATTAACAGCAATAAATATAAACTCAAAAAGAAGTGTTCTGCTAATATTGGAGAGAGAAAGAGAAATTTCCCAGAATATCACTGAAAGCTTGGAGAAAACACTGATACCAAACAGAAATCATAACCATCACCTAATAAACTGTTTTTGTTAGAACATGAGATTACTGATTGAGTGTGCGTGTAATACAATATATAATATAATTATGATATAAATATATGATATAAATTTATAAGATAATTCCAAAATTTCAACAACAAAAAAAATGTCTAAAATAAATCTAAGGTTTAATTTTGATATTTTTTTATAATTTAAGAAGGATTGACATTTAAAAATATTTCATTTAATGTCTCTCCAGATAAAAAAATTGTTGTCTGATAACATTAAAAATAGGGTATTCCATAAGAATATGTTTAAAAGCTTGGTTTTTGTTGCATTAATGACATTTTGACACTCTTCTCCTTTTTCTAAAATTGTCAAATTCAATGTTTGTAGACAAGATTTTGAGACAGCAAAAACATACACAAAATAAATAATTAAATGTAAAACACCACTGTATAGTTTTCAGCATTCAAATAATTGAATAAAATTAATCTTTATAAAACTTCCTTATGCACTACTACGATGTTTTAAACTCTTCAAATGCTCACACATTCACAGGCCCTAAAAACACATGCAGATGATAAACTTTCACTTATTTACAGTTCAATTCTGCAGTGTTTCCTCAAATCTTGTGTGTTTTGACCTGTGATTTCTGGTCATCAATAATCCCAACTCAACATTGCATTTCTGGCAATGTGACTATTGCAGATGTACAGGTTGTGATATCAAGGCTCAAACGACCCTAATCCCTTTAATTAGTGAAATATATTGGATATTAAACACACACGGCACACTGACCTCAGAGCCGATGTAAGCCTTGCCCTGAATGAGCTCTGGAGCTGCGTATGCAGGACTGCCACAACATGTCAGCAATTCAAAACCCAAACCACCCTAAATCAAAAAAATCAAAGATGAGTACACTGCTTTATTCTGTACATCTGTTTTACATCTGAAATGGAATTGTTACCAATCATGTTTATTCTTATTTATTAATTTAAAGCTTTGTTAAAACATCGGTCCTATGCAAATGTCTAAATAAATAAGAATGACTTTAAAAGAAAATGGACATAATTAACACAAAAAGATACAAACCTTTGGCTTGGCACACAGGCCAAAATCAATGAGTTTTAGGTTATGATCTTCATCGATCAGCAAGTTTTCCTATAAAATCAATAAGAGCAGATGTGACAAGAAAACACCGTTAATGTAATAATAATAATTTCCAAAAACTTAAATAATAAAATTTGCATCCAAATAAGAGTTCATAATTACACATTTTTAAAAAATTATATATAAATATATTTTGTATATTTTTGCATTTCATGAGCAGTATTTGTGTGTGTATGCATATACACATATAAATAAATTTACACAGTACGCATGTATATATTGTGTAAATACAAACTTTTATCTTATGTGAGATTAATCATTTGACAGCACTTTCAGTCATTTACAATCTCTCTTACAAGCACATCTGGCTGTTTAGTTGGCATTTATTTGTACTTGATTTGTCTCCCTTAATTTGTATGTTCACATAAAAAAAAGGAAATGGTTAATAAAAAAGTGCCAGTTTTTTTTGACAACTTTAAGGTGGCCATTGTGAATCTTTCAACACTGCTGCTCTAAATAGTTTTTAAACAATATGCAGAACGCTGAAGCTGGCTTGGAAAATCTGCCAGATTAGGGTTAAGAAATTGTACGAATTTTTACACTTTTATGTTGATATTTTAGTTAATTGTAATAATATTTATGTAATTAAAATAATACTAGATATGTTGTAACACACTGGGTCTGAGAAAATATATAACGCTCCTTTGAAAAAAAAAAAAAGTCACAAAATTATAAAAACAAAAAAAATCTAATATTGATATCGATAAATATTGTAAAAAAAAAAAAAAAAAAAAAAGTTTAGAAATTTTTTTGTTATTGAATTTAATCCCTAGAGTTAGAAGTGTGAACAGAAACAGTTTAATTCCTGACATTTTTCAAAGTATCTTCTTTTAGGTTGCATAGAAGAAACAACATTATATTATAGTCAGGACAGACATGATAGTGATAGGCATGGGACGATAACCATGTTTAAGGTATACTGCAGTTTGGAAAACTCAGGGTTTTAACACCGCCAAATTTTTCTGCTATACCATTCCTAAGGTATGTGTAAGATTGTTTTTATTTACGTTTCAATTTTTTTATGAGAACAGTATCTGCAGCAGAAAAGATATCCAAAGATTCCATTTTAAATGGTAAAGAAATCTGTTTTTGAAACAAATGACAACAGCAGAAACAAATTTCAACAAATTTAAAACAAATGACAACAGCAGAAATCAATGATTGACTTGAATTATTTAGGCTGACATGTTTACAGATCCAAAATATTTTAAATGTTTCTCAAAATAAAATATTTTGTGGTCAAAGTGGAAAAAGGTTGTTGGTTTTTTACCCAGACATTTAAAAAGAATATATTTTAGTGCAGTACTCACAATACCGGCACCTGTCTAGATAGTGAAGGCAATTTTTAATTCAGAGTCGACAACCCTTTTTCAAAGACAAACTCACAGGTTTGAGGTCTCGATGGGCATAACCTTGGCTATGAACATAGGCCAACGCAGAGATGATCTGGCGAAAAAACACTCGGGTCTCTTCCTCTGATAACCGATCTTTAGCAATGATGTAATCAAAGAGTTCTCCTCCAGGACAGTACTGATAGATTGACAAGATACATGCAGTTAAACATATGAAGATTAATAGGTATTCCTTAAACATCAGAACCACATTCAGCAAAGCATACCTCAAGCACCATGTAGATTTTGCTTGTGGTCTCAATGACATGGTAGAGACGACATACATGTTGATGACTGAGGTTCTTCATTGCCTCAATCTCTATCTTTACTCTGGGCAGATCATCCTAGTAACATAAACACTTGAAAGACACTATTCTGAATTTCAAAAGTAAATTAAATCTCAATATCAGGAATAAATTCAGAAATAACTTCCTTCGTAATTATTAAGGTACTCATTCAAATGTTGTGATTCATGGTAAAGGCATTTAAAATGAATAACAAACCCCAAGATCTTTTTTCTCCATTATTTTGATGGCTACTTTCTCTCCTGTCAGTTTGTGTCTGCCAAGTTTGACCTTGGCAAACCCACCTGTGGATTAGAGTGGAATTCAATTGTACTCTTTATTGAAATTCTCTCTATATATAAATTATATATTATATATATAAATAAACAATTGAGGGACATTACCTGAGCCAATGGTTTCATAAACCTCATAGTGCTTGAGGAGTTCAGAAGTGCTGTCTACTGGCATACTGAATACACATACACCTGCATCAGAAACAGCATGCTTTTTAAACATATTAACATGAGATATGTTTAAAACCTCCTAACTGTCAATATCCCACAGGTGAGACACTTCTTTCTTAGTTTCTGAGTTTGTTTCTTAGCCTGAACTTATCTAGATGAACTACTTATAATACGTATATGATATAATTGATATAATATATCATTTTCAAAATAATAAATATTTTGAAATAAATTGTTTTAAGAGACAACATTACCACTGTATGTTAGCAACAATTCAAAATGTAAAAATAAATCTGTGGAGCATCAGTTTAAGTCATTGATATATAATTTACTTGCAAAACAAAAATATAAGAACAAAGAAAATCAGCTTTGAAAAAAACACTTAAGTAAATTTCACAGGCTACCAACTTTCATCGGCATATGTTTGTTTTGAGCATAAACTCCACGGGTCTAGAGAATTAAGGAAGCTATTCTTGCAGTATTTGCAACATGTCATGTAACTTAATTGGTTTAATGATAAAATAACTAAAATTTTGAAACAGTGAGTTAGGACGTTTTATGCTTGTTAGAAAGCCTCACGTCGTTTGCAATGTCGGTGATCATAACAACGGCACACAAAAGTAAAGTTTCAAGCACAAAGCCTAAACTTTATGTTCAACATTCAACTAAATAAATTTTTCTATCATTTTCTCGCCGTGAATGTGGCAATCATCTCCTCTTCCTAAAACTGTAACGTTACTAACGTTAGATCAGACAGTCGCACAAAAAGCGACGTATAAATCAGTATATCACACAAAATATTTTTTAAATGGAACTGGGTAGAAATATCATTAGTCATTAAATTACCTGACGTACACGCAGTACAGATTTATGAAAAGGGTTTGTTTTGACTGACATGTTTTAATAACAGACTTACCAACTGTGCTCCAATGATGGTCTTTAAAACGCCGATAAAAAAGAGCTCAAAACAACAAATAATGTACAATTTAAGAATGAAAACAGACAATCGGTTACGTTGTTACTTAAAAATTCGAATGTTTTCAATGCGATAAAATTACAACTTGGACTACCAAAACAATTCATTTGAACATGTTTTAAAATTTGAATTTCCCCCTTGGTGTCAGACGAGTTCCTGTTTCCGGTTACGGTTATACGGTAAAAGTCCTTTTGATCGTGATCCAGAAGTGTTTTGTTTCCCCAAATCAATCGCCTTTATAACTGAATAGAAAAGAAATAACGATACAGAAGAGTTTCTGCCGTGTTACTAATTCCAGGTCAGGTTTCATGGCAATATACTCTCATACATACATATAAAGCATAGCTAATTTCAACGTAAACAGCCATTTGAATCTGACACCTAACGTTACATGAAATATAATTGAATGAAATGTAATCTATCTACCCCCTGAATTAGATTATCCTTGAATCATTTTCTTAAAAAAACTGACCCCAAACTTTTGACCAGTGTATCTATCTATCTATCTATCTATCTATCTATCTATCTATCTATCTATCTATCTATCTATCTATCTATCTATCTATCTATCTATCTATCTATCTATCTATCATTTTAAATTTAATAATAAAAAAATACATCACAGTCATTTGGAACTAATTTTAATGGGGTGAATACTGCATTACAATGTTGGTTTTCATAATCCATCCATACACTCACTGATCACTCTTTCAATCATGCATTCATTTTCTACATGCAGCCTTGCCCACTATTTTCAAGAAATACAGTATGCCTATGGCTTACAGCATGCCTTATAAGTAAAGAGTACATGGCAGCTTTTTGGTATTCAGACACATGTACTTGTGGGTAAATGACCTTGCTTATAATTTAGTCATTTGCTATCTTTACGCACTCATATTTGTAATTTTCTGTCACCTTTGAACGAATTTCTACAATAATTTGATCATTGTATGGTGATTATATGAGCAGTGTTTTGTGAGGACTGGAAAAATAGGAGGAATGAATATAAAGAAATGACTTGTCTGTGAAAAAATAAACGAATAGCACCAAAATTAGATTGCTTCTATTTAAATTATAGATTGCTATTAAACAATTATATTGTTCCTCCACATCTATGATCCAAATTATCCTACCTTCTTGAAGTTAAACCTGTAAAGCATATGCAGATGTTGATTGAAAAATCTGCAATCACTCTGCAAATTCATTCATCCATCGGCTTTGGTATATTCATCTTAAAGAACACAAAAATGTTACTGCCTACTCAAGAAAATGTTGTTTGTATTTTGTAAACATTTATAACCCAGGTGATTACTGCAGAACACTTTTAGAGCATTATCTAATAGAAAGTAGGCATGGCAGACAGAAGAAAATTTACTGTATGTGCATAACATTGGTTAGAATAGTAGTGAGAAAGCAAGCAAGAGATAGCAAATTTAAGGAGAGAAGAGAATGTTGGAAGATACACAACACAGAATCCTGATCTATGCTTTCCTCATAAATAGAATAAATTACTGTAATCATAGTACAAAGACTTTTGGTTTAGAATTACATTCAATACTAAATAACTTTACCCCACATACAAATACTGTAAAACAAGCTCTATAGTACCCTGTTAGGAAATTATCTTCTCAGTACATTTGTCTTTTAGGCTAATCCATTCAAAACACTTAAATGGCAGGTTTATGTTTCATTGTCTGCATGTGTGTATGTATTAGTGCATGCTTATTACTGGTATGCCAGTACCTTTGGACACCGCCTTGGTGTTAATTTTATACATCTCATGAGATGGTTTGAGAAAACCACATTTAAGTTATTCTCACAGGTTTGTTGTAGTTTAGGGGGATGGGGGGACTACCCAATGTAGCTGTCCAAAGGTCAAAGGGCAGTGAGAGTGCGAAAGAGCTGAGTGAGGCAGAAGACTGAGGATGTTAATGCAGTGCATTGGCGGGCCAAGAGCTTAATACTGAGCTCAAGACAAGTCTTCCTTTCGGCAGCACTTCCCACTAGCTCTGCTGCCCGAGCAAAGTCCTGATAAGTTTTTGCAACATTTGCTAGTCCTGTAAGTGCTTGAGCATGGCGCTCCCTGCACCGCTGGCAGCTGGAGAAACATAAACACACACTTGTCAGCTGTACCAGTGAACGGAAGCTTTCAGCAAGCGACTGAAGTGTTTCCTCTGGCGTCTGCCCAACCCTGACCACACGCTGACATCCAGCTAAAAGCCCCCGAGCTTCCCCATGCAATCGCCTTTTGTTCTCTGAAAAGTGAGCCACACAGGTATCCCTAGGGTGCTCTTGGGCCTCATCCTGGTTCTTCATCGCACCAGCAAGAACACATAAAAGGGTATCTACATCCCTTTGCAAAGAAAGGAATCCTGTTGGTGGTAAAGAATACCGACGAGTCAGCAGTGAAGTGATTATATCTTCATGAGGGTCTGATAGGAAGCAGTCAGAAGCATCCAAGGGAGACAGAAGGGGGTTAAGCTCTGTAGATGAAGAAGCAGGCAGCACTAGATGAGGGAATGAGGGCAACGGAGAAGATGGAGAGAAAGATGCAGGGGATGCAGAGAGGGAGGAAGGAGGAACAGAGGTCAGTACTGCATCTCCTGTTTCACTCTGGCTGGTTTTGCGGGAAAACTCATAGACAGTGAGTTCATCATCAAAGCTGGCACTGTCAAGGACTCCACTGAAACAGTTGGTGTATACTGACTGACAGACCTCTAAAGGTGCTTCAGCACTCTCCATTACAGTATCACAACCCATAGCCAGGACTGATGTGCAGCTAAAGTCTGGTTTCTCTTGTTGTTTTGGACTGAGCAAGGACTGTGGCTGGGCTATGGTAGGTTTCGATTGACAGTTTGTGAAAACCCCACAGTTAGGTGTAATGTTATGGGGACAATGGCTATGTCCTTGTAATCCACTGGATGCTACCAACCCCCAAGGTCCATTAAGGTTCTGTGTAGTAACTACTACAGAAGAAGGGTTGATCTGGAGAGAGCTGTTTGCATTTGAACAAAAGGGGGATACTGATATTACAGAAAGATCTTTGGGTTCATTTTTGATTTTCCTCTGTCCACATGCTTGTGGACTAATGTGGGGGACCTCTCTTACCTCCTCAATGACTTCAGTCACTTCTTCAGATACTATGGTTACCACTTTTACCTCTGTGACTTCAGGAGCACCTTCATTTATGGTTGCATCTTCGGTTACCTCTTTAGCTACCTCAACTTCATTTCGTTGTAGTTGGGACTCGGAAAGTCTTCGCAAAGGCTCAACAATGCCACTACCATTCGAACCAGCATTTAGTATCTGCTGGGATCGTGATAAGTAAAGGGGAAGGTTCTGGATCTTTCCCCGCAGGGTAGAGGCAGAAAGTCGGCCAAGGATTCCTGATGAACAAGGTGTAAGAAGAAAATTCTGAGCTGGTTCGAACGGAACAGTAGGGTCACTTGAATTTTCAGTTTCGTCAGATTCTGGTGTTCTGACTTGCTGGCAAAATAAATGTCTTGATGGGCAATGTGGCGCACCACTACCAAAAGATGCAGACATGCTCTGGCTCCTGGTTCTCTCTGTTGGCTCCACTGAGTGTTTTCCCATTCCAAATTCTAGATGTAAAGTATTGCTATCCCTCTCTGTATTAGGGCTTGTGGTGTACGATATACTTGGAACATGGAAGTACGGCAAACTTGATGGGGATATCTGGCCAAGTCTTGGCAGTGAGCTACTCTTTTGGTTCACTGATCTGCCGTGGAACAAATCTTCCATTTGTCTGGTTACCTGGTCATCTCTTTGACCAAATAAAACACTGCTATCACACTTTTTTTTAGACATATCAAAGAACAAGTGGCCCCCGAACAGACTCTCTAGACCTCCCACTGCACCCTCCTCCTCATCGTCTGTACCATGGTTTCTGGTGCTTACTTTATCATGCACGTCCATATGGGAGCGTACTGCCATTATAGTTGGTGATACAGTAGACATTAGTTCAGTGACTGATTTAAACTCCATGGAATCTGGTTCCATTTCTATACGTTGCTGTTTGCGCTGGAAGGCTTTGTTTGAGTGTGATCCCACTTGTGTAACAGTGGAATTATGTGGTCCTGATCCATTAACTTTTGATGGGGTAATAGGTTTGGATTCCAGTTGTGCAGGTTCTCCTTCAGAATCAGTTAAGGACGAGACTGTTGGGCATGGAACTTGATCTGAGCATCCACTATCAAAACATGCCATTCGACCAGTGCCATGATTGACTAATAAAGATCCACAGCTTTGGATGCTATTTCCATAGCTGTTACTTAATTGATCCTGCTCTGGGAATGATACAAGGGATGTGTAATTAGTTTCCATGAATGAGCGACGCTTCTTGGATCTTTTATTGAAATTTGACAATTCATCTTGTGTAATCATTTTTCCTTCCTCCTTTTGTTTCCTCTCTGAATCCTTTGCCTCTTGTTCACTGACACAGATGCCAATCTGTCCCAGGCGTAGTGTGTTTAATATGGTGCTGGATTCTGCAGAATTTTCTGTAAACAGCAAAGACAAATGTTAAGTGCTTGTCAGCAAAAATTTACATCAATCATATACAAAACTTTACATGTGAATAACTTTAAATTCTATATTATTAGCTATACATATAATTAGAGAGATTTTTCCTTGTCATACCCCTAGTCATAGCAGTAGATAAAGGTTCTTCCGGGGATGTGAATCTTTCCTGAGCGTCAAAGAACTCATCATCTGAACTGCTGTCTCCAAACCCTGGTGGGGGATGAAAAATTGGCACTGCTTCTTTCCCATTCCTTGCCACTCCTTCCTGATCCTGGCGTGTTTCTGTAGAATCTGGAGAAGAGAAAGGTTTTGGAAGGCTGCGAGCACTGTCAGGAGTAACATTGGAGCAGATATTGTAGTAATGTCTAGTGTCTCCTTGTTCAAATGTGAACACATAATCTGCAGGAAGGGGTAGGTTGCTTTCAGGACATTTTGCAGGTGACTCCTTTTTATGGTTTTCATTCTCTATTCCTGACTCCTCACAGTCTTCCTCTTCGCTGGCTGCAGGGGGACTAGGTAGACATTCAGCAATGTTTGAGAGTGCAGCAAAGCAAAAGAATTGGTCAATATCTGGCTCACAATGGGAATCAGCAGAGCACAGGTCACTCTGGGACTGAGAGTCTTTGCAAAGCTGTTGCTGTGGAGACAGTGATGGTGAAAAGCGGTCTTCACAGTGGTAAGAGTCTTTCACTGGTAAATGCCATGGGTGTCTGGTAGAAAAATAGGTCATAAGATCATCCTCCTCCAAAGCATCTATAGAGTCACTGGACATGCTGGTCATGAAATGTGACTCCGTTTGGTATGAATCAGATGCTTCAGATGAAGGGTCATCTACAATAATGATACAGGGAGGGTGTTCAGGCTTATTCTCTTGAGATTTGCCTTCCTTTTCTGTGCCCAGTCTCTCATCATTTATATCTGTTGTCTTTTCATTATTATCATTTATAGATTCATTGATGGGTTCTTGGTCCTCTTCTCTTTCCTTCTTTTCCAATGCCTCCTCTTCTTTGCCTCCTTCTTTTTCCATCTCTTCATCTTTTTCCATGTCACTTTTAGTTTTTTCAGTTTCTTCTGGTAGTTCATCATTAGGTTTATCACTTGTTGCTGTTGTGCTGCTTTTGGCAGTGCTGGCAACATGAGCAAGGAGAGCATCCACATCTGTGTCCGAGTCTTCCGAGTCACTTCCACAGTGTGACACATATCCTATAGACAATGGGGGAAAGAGCATAACAAAATTCATAACCTTTTCAAGTCGCAGAATTTTTTTAAATTATGTATATTAATATGTATCTTTTTTACATTGATATGGAGTGACTTGACTCACTACTCATGGTCAGCTCCAATTGTGTTTTTCACAATTTTTTATGTCATATATTGTGTGATTTTATCTTCAAAAACATTCTAAAAATATGGTTCTTTGCACATACTAATAGTTCTATTTAGAACCATGTCATCCTGAAGAACCCGTTTAATCTGAAATGATTCTTTGTGTTTAGGGTTCTTACTTTACAAACTTTTTGTTTTTTACTGACAAAGCCCCTAATTTTCTTGAGGTTTTCTGAAGATCAATTATAAAATACACAGACCATCAACATTCTCTCAACAGGTAAATTGGTCCCATTTTATATTAAGTGGCCTTAACTAATATGTACTTACACAAGAATTAATAGTTCTTTACAATGTACTTATTGTGTAAATACATGTATTTATTGTGTACTTATGCTTGATTAAATACCTGTATGTAATTACATCTGTAATTAACTTCTGTAATTACATTTGTAAATAAACTGTTGACCATCCCTTACATCTTAACCCACCCTTAAACCTACCCATACCACCAAACCTGCCATAACCCAACCTCTATCCCAACTCAAGAGCACCACAAGTGTTCTCAAATACATTATGAACACAGTAAGTACATTGTATTTATTTTTTGATGCAAGTACATAGTAGTTAAGGACACTTAATATGAAGTGGGACCGGTAAATTCATTATTTCTTAAAACTTCTGTACTACGGCTGCACAATATATCATTTCAGCATCGATACTGCAATGTGATCATTCACAATAGTCACATCACAGAATATGCAATGTGGAGTTTGTATTATAATTTATCATTTGCATGTGTTTTTGATACCTGTGATTGTATAATGATTTGAAAAGCATTCAGGTATACAAAATTGTACGATCTTTCACCTTAAATGTTTTTTTTTTTATTTGAATTATTTTTATAATTCAGTTACTGTACTTGAATACTGTTAGACTTGGGGAATGATAAAACACTTTATTTCAATTGCATCTTTTTCTTGATTGTATTTATAGATTGTTTTACATGAAAATACTCACAACACATGCAAATACTGAAATGCACTGCAAATAGCACAGACCACAACAAAAATGTGTCAGGGGCCTGAAAAGTTTATAAATTGTTTATTAGATTTTATGGAGATACAAATAGTAAATATTAATTCATCAGTATCTGACTAAACATGTACATGAAAATATTCACAACACATGCAAGTACAGAAATGCACCGCAAATAGCACAGACAACAAAAAAATGTGTCAGGGGACCCCAAAAAGTTTAAAGATTGTTTATTAGATTTTATGGAGATGCATTCCCAGTGCAGAATCATCCCAATTGATCAAACATTATAAATTCTTTATCAATAGATATATTACGTCATCTGGTTAAATTGTATTCATATTGCAATATAAAAAAAAATCACAATGTTGCATTTTTCCATTATCGTGCAGCCCTACTCTGTACATTCTAACTTTCAAAATCTTACTTGCTGCCCACCGATCATATTTTTTCTGTTTTAAGTTTAAAAGAACATGTGACCAGCTCTGTTCAACTGAGCAAAATTAAGGTAAGTAACAGTAGAATTTATTATCCTTGACTGTGACTACTTAATACAGTAACTATCACATTCTGTCCATTTTGCTAACTTTGGCCTTCATAAGCATACTTATTTTTATCTAAAAAAAATGGAAAGGACACACTGTGATTTCAAACTCATTTGTATTTCAGATCCCAGCAAGCATTTTTTTTAAAAGATGTCTAATAGATGTCCATATACCTGTACATAAACTTGTCAATTTGTATATTTGCATTCACTACTTACTTCTATTTTTAAAATATATTCATTATCTGTTTTTTGTCCTATCTCTGTAATTCTGTTGCACTGTAAAAGCTCTGTTACTAAAACAAATTTCCTGTATGTGTGAACATACCTGGCAAAAAAGCTCTTTCTGATTCTGATATCTTCATGTTCAATGTCAATTGCTAAGAACCCTTATTTGGTGCTGTTTAGAACCACTTTTCCTAACAGTGTAGGCACTTGTAAGATACAAACTCTTTCAAAAGTGTGAAATTTGCTTTATAGCATGTTTTATTTTTAGACTATTATTACATCCAGAATATGTGAGAGGTGTGGAGTGGAAGTGAAGTTCTCAGATTCTGCCAAAAGCATGGAAGCAAATCAGTATACAGACAAATAGACTGCGTACCCTCTTCAGTTGATATCCGGTGACTCTTTGAATTAGGTGACCAGGGGAACACACAGATCTGGGGGTCCACAAGCAGTTTGCAATATCCAGCAACCAGACACGATAAATCTTTGGCTGCCACTGATTCCATCAGCAATGTTATCGGCTGAGGAAAGGAAGAGTGTGGCAATGAGAAAGAATAACAGAACAAAGAAAACATGTGTAGAAATATATGTTTACTGTATACCTTGATATCCTGGAGGTAGATCTTGACCAGGCTAACTCTGTCAGACTCGGGTAATAATTCCACTCTGGTGATGCAGCTGAATTCAGTGAGTGTTGTCATGATGCTCAGCTTGTGATTGATAACCTGGCTCACTCCATACTTAGCTCCCACCAACAAACTCACCGTTGACTCTCTGTCCTGCAGCTAGTTAAACAGAGAGGGAACGAATGAAACAGAGAAACTGACATTTTCAAAAATTCACAGAAAAATGGGAATAAACGAAAAGGGGTTTATCTTAATATTTATAATTTACATTAAGTAATCTTCATTCATGCAAAAAAAAAAAACTATTTGTACAAGGTCAAGTTGTGATAGACTTGGTTATATTACCTTATTTTTTATTACTGTTATAGATTTGTGTGGTATGAGCAGAGAATCGCACAGTGGGTTCCATTCGGAAGGGGTCATCCCTATGGCCTAATACCTTTAGAGCATGGGTCTCAAACTCATGGATGGCCGCAGCTTTGCACAGTTTAGCAACAACCCGAATCAAGCACAGCTGATCCAACTAATCAACATGTTCTAGACGACTAGAGAATATTAGGCAGGTGTGATTTGCAGGTGATTGGAGCTAAAATCTGCGGAGCTGTGGCTCTCCAAGAATTGAATTAGGCCGTACTCACACTATGTACAGTTGCCTCGAACCGGGCCAAAGCACGCTTGTCCCCCCTCCCGTCTCCCACGATGGCCTGCACTCACATTACAATAACTAGTTATATCGGTTTAGTCCTTAGGGATGCGGGGACACGCAGGCAGATATTTCGGAGGACAGATCAGCCACTTTTGACGCTTATAAACAATCATAAAGCCCTCGTGCTGCAGGAATTAGAAGGTTTGCTGAAGGTGTGCAGCTGTCGTGCAGTGAGGGGTTTGCGTATTTAATAAACTACTGTTTACTGAACAGTAAGAATGATTAATAAATCCATATGAAACAGTCCCTTAAAAGTCACGTCTCGCTTTCAGTTTCGGGCTTTGGTGCGTTTTGCACTCACACACAAGCGACCACGCAAAAGCCCAAGTGAACCGCGCTCAGGCACACCTCTTCCAACCGGGCCAGGGCCGGCCAAGTGAACCATGCCTGAGCCCGATTCAGCACACTCACACTTCTCAAACAATCCGGGAAACGGGCCTGGGCACGGTACAGATAGCATAGTGTGAGTAGGCCTTTAGAGGGTCCCTCTGAAGGGATTAGAGCAAGGATGGGCAAACTCAGTCTTGGAATGGTCATGTAGACTTTTGTTCCTACACTAATAAAACACACCTGAACATGATAAAATGCGTTCAAGATCACTGGAAGGTTATAGGCAAATGTGTTTTTATAGGGTTGAAGCTTAACTTTGTAGGAAACTTTTGAGGATGTATGGGCAAATGTATGCAAGAGCTAATCTTTCCATCTAATTCTGTAAAATAAGGATGCTCAATATACATACAAATGCAAAAGGAGACATTGGAAAATTACACAAAGTGTGGCAGCTTTTATTTGATAGCTGTAAAATCAGGACTGGCAAAACAAGGTTTTGGTTGTGGTTGAAAGTAGACAAGCTCAACATATTTTATACCCCCATTTTCACCTGCATTTACTATTTAGCATTACACGCGTGATTATATCAACACTTATAGATAATTTCACCTCATTGGGCTCAATTTTTTTCCCTACAAAAAAAAACAAGCAACTTGTTAAAGCTTCTAAATTAACCACTTTCATTATTCAATCGAATGCACTTCATTCATGGTCCACTTAGTAGCTGTTGGTTACCCTTCCCTATTCTTTTGTTTATAATACTTAATTTATTAAAAATTTTTTACTTTCTTGTGTTGATAATACAGTTAAAGGCTCTACAAGGCAATTGATATTAAACAAATTCATGATATTGGCCAGACAATAAACTCCTTCAAATTTATAACATTTTATTAAATTAAACAAAAAAATGTAATTAAAAATGTAAACTTCAAAATTATAAAATTTGTATAATTATAATTGTATATCCAATTCACTTACACTGCATATCTTTGGACTGTGGGGAAAACCAGAGCACCCGAAACCAGTGGCCGTCTTGTTGTGAGGTAACAGTGCTAACCACTGAGCCACCACACTATTTTAATTTATTGTACCAGTGTGTAAGACTATAGCTATGTTTCCATCCCAATATGCAAATTAACTTTATGTGGAAAACTAGAATATTGCATAAAAGATGTACAAGTAAAGCAGCACGAGTCAAAGCAAACAAAATCGTCACTTCCTGATTAAATGGCGCCAAATATCAACAATAAAAACTGAATTTGCTGTGGTACGAGAAGCTGCATGAATCTTTTTTTCATTTAATAAATGACTTGTGCCTCAGAAGGCAATCCTGACACGCAGTGAACGTGCGGTGGCGTTTGAAGGCGTGAGACGCGGAGCACAGACACTGTTGATTCTGAAGGTAATTAAAAATATATTAACACTAATATTGAATCGGTTAAGATGTTTTAAAAAGACCAAACAACATTGCAGATGTTTTATAATGTGCTCAGCCTGCTGGTTTATCCATTCACGCACATTTTTATCATCACATGATCTCTTATAACAAAATCACATAACCTTTTTTATTGCACATACAGGAATTTGTTCGTCAAAATTTATTTCTTTTTGAGTAAAAAGTTTATCCTACTCAGTTATGCGCATATGTTTTATGCACATTTTCAAAATTTATGCGCGTCTTGCCATTTCTATCAACCATTTTTTATGCGCATGTACAAAATGCACATAAAAATAGGAGGATGGAAACATAGCTACAGTTGCAGCATGTGTGTTTTGAGGCCTTGTGTGTGATGTCTGAGGACAAGGTTTGGTTTTTCAGCAAGAGTGTATGGTTTTGAGTGTAGAGCTTCATTTTGACCTGAAAATAGACTGTTTGGAAAATTGGGTGAGACGTTATGGATTTGTGTTTACTGTTTTAGAATATGAGGCACAGTTTCAAGAAATGTGTTTAAGCAATCGAGAAAAGCTGTAATGTTAATATTTCAGACCAATACTATAACTAGTTTTGGTGCCCTGTGTGAGACCAACAAAATATCACTGCACATTTTTATCATGTGTCCAAGGAAGAGGTTAATGGTTTGATCATTTGCATTCTTCTCACTCTCTTAAATGGCAGTTTGGTATTAATGTTTGAGCAGTAACAAAGCAGATGACAGAAGAAAAGCCATTGCATGTGTGAATCAATGTGATGTACATTTACTGGGAAAATTGTTACAGCACTTTAATGGATTTCATGCCTGAAAGTGGCTATTAAGATGCAGAATACATCTCTTACCATCATAGTGGCGCTAAAAGCTTTTCCTCCATATGACTTGAGTTCAGACATCTCATTCATGTAGTTCAGTCTAGCTTGATCCACTGAGATCATCTATGAAAATGGTCAACATGTGGGAACATTTTTAAATAAACGGAATTAGTACAGTACAAACAGTTTTGTAAAAGCATATTTTACAGACCATGGCAAAACTATGCTATTCTTTCAGGGAAAACCAATGTTACATGGATAGAGTATCATTAAGTAAGAGGGTATATCAAGATGTAATATGTATCTATCAGAGTATTACGATACAGTACACATCACTTTTAAAATTGTATTTTACAGTTATACAGCACATTATGGATGATTTGCATTCATCCACACAATTTAAAAAGTAAAACACACATGCACACACCTTTTGCTTGGGCTCCTGAGACAGAATCTTTTTCATGTGGTAACTGATGGCTTTCTTTAAGTCCTTTTCTCTCATGTTGCGCAGTAAGGTGTGGGACACAAAGCTTTCAATACCCCACTCCTTCCTTCAGACAGAATAAATACAGACATACAAACTCTAAATAACACACTTTAGGACTCTATGATAAACAGGACCCAAAACATACGTGTTAAAAAAATCATAGCTATATGATTGCTGCTGTGCATCCCTGTGTGTGAAGTAAGCAATGTGTACATGTGTTTTGGACCTGCCTAAATATAATATAATATAATATAATATAATATAATATAATATAATATAATATAATATAATATAATATAATATAATATAATATAATATAATATAATATAATATAATATAATATAATATAATATAATATAACAAGCAATCAAACGCAACATCAGGGTTTCCTAAGTTCGTGAAAGTAGTATGGACACTTACTGTACAGTATGGCATAATGTTATTGCATGTGTACTCACATGATAGCTTTAAGTGGTGTTTTAAGGGATTGTCCACTGCTGGCTAGCTTTTCCTGTACATGTAGAGCAGCCAGTCTGAGAGCTGTATTACATTTCATCTCTACAGCGAATCTCTCCTGTAATACATCACTCACACTCTACACACACACAAATAGACACACGTTTATTCACTCATCTAGAAGATGACATAACATAAATGCAAATGACTATGACTACTAACTATAAAAACAATATTTACTTTATTTTAAAATAAATTTATATATATATATATATATATATATATATATATATATATATATATATATATATATATATATATATATATATATATATATATATATATATATATATTTGCTAGTTAGCTATTTATTTAAGTTGGCATAAAATCAAAACTCTTCTTATTTCTATATTTATAGTAATAGTGCTTATTATAAACAATGACTCTGTGACTCTGTGCTCTTTATTATTTTGAATATATAGGGCAAGCTATAAGTGTGGCTCCTGTTTATGCCCTGCTTTCAAGGGGGGCAGGGGTTTAAATAAATATGGTAAGATTCTGTCTGTAAAATCTAGCTCCCATTTTTCTTCATGCATCAAAACATTCTGACAACAGCCGACAGTGATTTAGTAAGTAAGTGGCAGGTCTAGCTTGACCGGCACCAACAAACCAAACCTCAAAACTGACTTCCCGTGCCTCCCCCGGGAAGATGCCGCCCTGCCTGAGTCCATGCCTAAATTCACTGTTGGTAATCCTCTACAACTTAGTAAAACTGACATTCAAATCTTCCTCTTTCTTTTAGCAACAGCAATGATATAGATTCCCAAAGGATGAAATCATGCACTGCCCTTCATTTTTTCCCCCACTTTAAAAACCATTTCAGTCAAATATATATCATGATAAAGGAAACTTCCTTGAACTTAACTTCCATTTCATGCTGACTTTAAGTTTAAACCTGTGTGTGTCCTAGTGTATACACTAAGAATGCAAACAAGCGTAGTCTTTGTAATACACCAAAGAATATTCATATAATCAGAAAACAATCTAATGCCAATCATTTGTAATGCTGTTTATAAAATATAGATGGATGTGCATTAGGGTTAGATATTTCCTTACAGGAGTACAATCATTTACTAGTGGTTATAGCAGGAAACTAACATGAAAGAAACACTCACCTGTAAGTACAGATACTCAAAGCCCACAGGATCTTCTGTAAGCATGCTTTTAAAGTCTCTGGGTAGAAAACAGACACGGAACAGACACCTGTAGTCATGTGTCTCCTTTTTTTCAACCACCTGTCACACATACAAAGTATATTAAATTAAAAATTACACTGAACGTCAGCCAATTAACAATTACAAACGTGTGTAAAGAAGAAGTAACAAATCTTTTAAAGAATGCTCTCTTACAACACTGTTTACTCTTCAATATGGTGTTCCATGTAGAAAACAAACAGGGATATGAAGAGTGTTCAAAAGTTATGCTCCTTAATATTTATGGAAAAATCATAATATATTTTGGTTTAACATTGTTTTATGAATAGAATGTTCAAAAATTATTTTTAAATAGAAACTTTTATAGCATTATGTGTGTTTTCTGTCAATTATATCAAATTAAAGTAATTGAAATGTTATGAATAAAAGATACATTTACAGAAAAACAACATTGTAAATTGATAAAATATTTTTTTTATAAACTTTTGCAGATCATAACTTTTTCAGAATGATCTTGTTTTATGCATGCTAAGCCAGTCATTTTGTAAGGAAGCAGTATATAAATCATAAACCCAGGGCAATGTTGAGCAAAGCAGCACAAAAGCAGTTTTTTTAAAATCCTTGTTTCAGTCTGTCATAGTATTCAGTTTCATTTCTTGTTCCACGCTGTTAAATAGCAAATGAAGTGCTATTTGCATGCCCAGTGTATGTACTGGTCTGAAAACAAGGTTTTTCAGACACAATATTTTGTTATTGTTTTATTATTATTTAAAGAGTGTATTAGTAATATGAACTTATAGGCAAGTTAAACAAAGCAAGTCTAATATATCTACTAAATGACATATCTACTAAAGACAATATCAACTAAAATATTACTTTACAAACTATTATAGTATACTGTATAAATCATATAAACATATAAATATTAGTCAATAATAATATTAAATATAATTATTAATATAACATTTAACGTATAAATATTGCATAAGTAAATAAATAGACTGAATAATGAGGTACAAATCTGCTGATTTCTGCATTTGCATATTTTGTGTGAGCCTACTTATTACACAGGACGCATAGCAGCACACAAACATGCCACATTTTTTAAAAATGAAAGCATTGAAATGTATAAAACTATTATGGTATGTCCTATAGATGGTCTCCACATATACTTTAACCTACGTAGGACAAGTGAATGAGCAAAAGAATTTGTTCGCCCATGTGCAGTATTTTTTCTGGAGTACATAATAATAATAAGTACTGAAAATCTTTTGGACGAATTTTATGATTTTAAGAGCCAATATTCTTACATTGTCACTTTTATAACTCCACGAGTTTTTAGGATAATCTTAATAATATTTTTTAAATAATTATATATATAATAATAATTTTATATAATAATATATTTGTTTATGAACAAAAGAACAGTTTTGCAACAACATGAGGATGAATAAGCCCTAACGTACTAATGTGTATTTCTGTTTGATCTTGTATGGTGTTTGTGTGTACCTTTTGAATAATCTCTTCCTCATGCAGTAGATAGAGTTTGCTGATGCTGTATTGTTGTTCCAGTACTAGGGAGAAGTGTTCTATACGGGTTATTGACAGTTTCTCCTTCAGAGTCATCACTATGTCCTAGAGAAAACACAAAGAGGTTATATTAAACGTTTAGTTTGAGGACATTAGTACACAGAACAGGATAAATAATGTTATACTGAATGAATATCATTGTCCTGTTTAGAGTACTTGCTCTGCCATTCACATTTGTAGTCATTCAGTTTGGTCAGAAAGAGCACTTCACCAATTATATTTTATTTAATAACAAAACAGCAAATTAAAATGATAGTAGTTTTATACACATTTAAAAAAAAAAAAAAAAAAAAAAGCTTGTCGTTTTCAATATAATTGCAATAATTTATTTTGTAACAAATTTAAAGGTGACCTACTATGCCCCTTTTTGCTAGATGTAAAATAAGTCTCTGATGTCCCTAGTGTGTATGTGAAGTTTCAGCTCAAAATACCACACATATATAATTTTTTGATAAATCTTTGAAGCTGACCCTTTTAGTCTTAGATTCAAACTGTGCCATTTTGTTGACTGTCACTTTAAATTCAGATCAGATTGTGCTTCCAGACTTTTTTCAAAAGAGGGTGGAGCTATTAACAGCTATTTCTCAGCATAGCAGCAGAATCAAAAACTGGACTAAAGCTCTGCTCACACGGTGAGATTTCAGCCATGATTTTGTCACCTGAGACTAATTAGGAAAATGCTAAAAGATTCCTGAAATCCTAGCTAAAATCTGTGATCTTCGATCGTTGGTTTGACACGTTCACAGACAGCTGCTTAATGCCCTTTGCTATCAGATTTTTCCTCAGATACTTTCCTGCAGTGTGACAACAGCTGAGATGAGCGTCAATCCAAGAACCAATAGGAGCGCTGAATTTGATGACGCAATCCATGCGACAATTCAAATGACCACAGGGAAACGTTAAAACATTTTTTTTTTCTTCCTGGTTTTATTATTAAGACACACTGTGTGCAAAATTGCTGCAACATATTGTTTACATTTGCTGCGAGGAATCATTTCAAAAGACCAGATAGTGAATGTGTCACAGATGGATGACGTAAAGCTCTGTCATCAGAGTTGGCATGTCTTCAGTGTCGTTCAGTCTGACTTAGTGAAAGCTGAGATCTTACAGTGTGACATGGGAGCCATGTTCGTGCTGTCTGACATGATACAATTGTTAAACTCCACATTTATAAGGTCTCTTAGTCACTGAAATTATCTTAATCAGGAACAGTATGAAATCTTTAGCGGACGGCTGCTTCTCACTCAGGACTGTTTATGCTAATAAGGAAGAGATCATCACTAAGAGGAGTGACTTTCCCCCTCTGATGACATGTACGAAGAGAGAATGTCAATCAAAGTGCTGCTGCTTTTGCAGTCTAAGGGCTCTATTGTAACGATCTTGGCGCAAAGTCGAAAGCGCAGGGCGCAAAAGCATTATGGGCGTTTTAGAATCCACTTTTGCTATTTTAAAGACAGAAAAATGCGGCGCATGGTCTAACAGGGTTGAGCTTATTCTCTTTTTGAGAATAAAACAATCATGAGTGTCATCTCTCATCCCCCTTAATAGTCAGTTGCATTGCGCCATGGTGCATTTGCTATTTACATGGCGGATTTTGTAAGTGAAAAAACTGAACACTTCACTTGAGAGAAAACCGTTAAACAGACCATCTGCAGAGCAAGAATGAGAGAATAAGCCTCCTCATTCTGTACATTCACAATCTTTCTTTAGTGTATAGGGAAACGTGTTGTACGCACAGACATCCATTAGCCTACATAATTAATTTTGTTTGTTAAACGCAAAGATTTGTGTCAAACTATTTCTAAATCCAGTTCTAATTTCCAGCAAACTAATAAATGAACAATAATAACAAAATGTGGTCAAAAAACTTATAGTTATATCCAAACACACATGCTATGCCCCATATGGTCCAAAACCGGACAGGTGGACAAATCTAAGCTTGTTTTTAATAAAACAAATATAAATAAGAAAAAAATAAATAATACTATTAATAAAAATAACATTATACGAAAGCAAATTGCCATGAACAAACTGAAAAATCCCCCCGACATGATGCAAGCATGAAGGCAGTGGTTTTTATATTTATGTAGAAAGTAATAACTTTACCTTAATATCTTTTACCTTTAATTTTTTTTCATTTGTAAAGATATTTGCGTATTGTTGTACATTGTGTGTGTATTAAGCAATGTGTAAGGGAGGCATACAACTAACGCGCTCTGCGCTGGACTTTAGACCTGCTCTCAGCTGGTCTATTGCGCCGACTATTTTAGTTCCTCAAAATAGCAACGCACCAACAATGCGCCCTAAAATGCATCTTATCTAGACAGAAACACCCATGAGTACACAAAATGCCACAAATGGATTTGCTATTTAAACAATGTGGTGGAAAACGGGAAAATTAGTGTTGTGCTGGTCTGAAAATAGCAACACGTCCTAGAAACACGTTTTACGCCTTATTGTGCCGGGTGTATGATAGGGCCCAAAGTGTTGACTGTTTTATGAAGTGTGATTGTAAAAAAATTGAATAATTGTTTTAGAGGCTGGCTGTATTTTCACATACTGTTGCCACACAATTGTGTTTAAGTCCCTTATAGAAGTGATTTTTGCATAATATGCAAAACAAATTTCCCTTTTTACATAATATACTCTTTTAAATGTAATTTAAAAATGTTTTTTGCTCCTGTGTTGAAGCTGAATTTTCAGCAGCCATTGTAAGTACTGAACTGATACATTATTATTTTAATTACAGTAAAAAATATATACTGCTTATTATTTTTGGAAAAATTACATTTTCACGCAAGGCTATGTAACATATGTATGTTTTTTAATATACATATATATGTTGTTATATGTATTTACCATTGTACTTTAAAACCATATTTCATGCTGACCGAAAAATCCATCATAACTCATTACATTAGTGACATTATAGTGAATGTGTCTACATTACCTTAACAGTGGTTTTAGATTCAAACTTGAAAGCCTTCGTTTGGCCGTTCTCCAGATAGACCTTCAGAACATTAGGCAGGAACAGCAGAGAATTGCCCTGGAGGTCAAAGATCAATATATGAACCAAGGTCAATAGACACGCATTTATAAATATAATATGTAAAATAGATAATATTAATAGCAATGTTAGCATATATGCTAAATTATTAAACAGCAGTCTCTTTCAACAAAGTGTTGAAACTATTGTTTAATTAGTCATATGGGAGCTACTTAAGCTACACCTTGTCACTACATGTGTTTTTTTCTGATGGGATAGTTATTAGATCGTGAAAGGGACAGAGGTAAATGCCCTCCAAAACACATTTGAGACAGATTTTAAATCCGATCACTCAAACCACTTCAGGAGGTCGTCTGGGATGCATTCCAGAGGAAACTGGACAGGTCTAAATGCATCAGGCTACTGAAACCACATATGGAAATTTTGCTTCTCCCAAAACTGTATCAATAGCCCACGTTTTTTTGGCTATATGAACACCCGAAAACAGCGCAAATGCATACGCAATGAACTGACACAGCTGACAGTTTGAGATGTTTGTTTGACTCAAAATAAAACACATCAGTGATTCAGCATGTACATTTAATAATTTTAAAGAGGTTTAACAGATATTTACTAGGTTATAACCTTACATTTTGTTGTTTGTCTTGCTCTGTCTGGTGCAAACAGCAAATAGTGCTGTTAGAACACAGGACACAATGTAACCTGCTCACCTAATGTTTAAGTTCGTAATATTTATATTATTTGCTAATCAATAACCTCATATAGAACTCTATGAATCTGCATCTTTTTTCAGAGTCTGCTACTGTCCACCGGAGGTCATGGTCACATGCTTTGAGAGCCTTTCCGAATGAATGAAATAAGAGCTTTTCCACCAAGGCAACCATGAGTGTTTGAATATAAACTTGGCTAAAATGGCATTGGGTGGGTTAGCAGAACCAAACAAAGACATTGTTCTGGCACGTAACACATTTTCAAAGCAAAATATCTGACCCCAGCATTGTTTTTCAGATAAACAACAGTGTTTTCTTGGCATGTTGCTTTAATGTCTGCATACATTATGGTGTTTTATGCTTTAGAAGAGTCAAAAACTTAAATGCAGCACCTTTAAGTTGAGGGAAATGAACACTATTTAAATAAAAGGTTTACTCAGAAATGTAGAAATGTTTGAACTTTTGAGTTGTTTTATTAGGATGCACCATCTTAAGGCTGAAGCTGTATTATGCATTATGTCAGCATATCTGCACACAGATTATGATTAATGGATAATTGAATAATTAATAAATTACTGATAAATTGACTGAGATTTCACTTAAGACATGGTAGACTGCCAAAGCCTTTTCTCAGTGCCTCTCTATAATCAATATGCACATTTGTTCATGTTCTCTCCTTCATTTTCTTTATTAATCATTTTCTCTATCGAATTTGAATGTGAATGCTCCATAACACAGAGTAAATTAATAAATGCATCACACCTGTGAGTGACCGTTGACCACCACCTCCTCTGCAAACCTCACTTTAACAGGGTTGGACTTCAGCTTGGCTCTCTTCTCTGGAGTTATGAAGGACGACTTTGGTCCCTGAGACACAGCAGATAGAATTATGGCACAATGTATAGAGCAATTAGTAATGCAGCATATCAACAAACATTCAAAAATACAGGATTGCTTTGGCGATCATGTTATCTTGTGTTCTGAAATGATACCCTGATGTCTATGAGAGGATTCTGGGAGTTCATTTTTTGGTGACATTTTGATTACTTTAATTTAATTTAATTTTCTTTTCAGCTTAGTCCCTTTAATAACCAGGGGTCCAGCATATGTTTTACGCAGCGAATGCCTTTGCAGCTGCAACCTATCACTGGGAAACACCAATAAAGTTTCATTTGCACACACTATGGACAATTTAGCTTACTCAATTCACCTCATGTCTTTGGACTTTGTTTTGTTTGTACATTATATTAGGGCTGCACATTATTGGAAAAATCTGATATTGTTATATTTTATTTTTCTGTAGATCAAGTCAAATGTATTAGTTTTGTTTTAAATAAAATAGTAAAAATAATAATAAGGCAAAATTAAGAGTTTTTCCTTAAAACAATTCAAATTATCCAAGTGGTACTTACTGCAGAGCCACTTGGGCAGAGCTGAGCTCCAGCAAGGGGGAGCTTGAGCTCCGGCTCCTCTTTCCTTGCACTTCTTCTACAAGTGATGTTACTGGGTTTGGGGTTAGAGGTGGGGTGGATGTACGCATTAAAGCAGCTCATAGGAGGAGGGGTTGGAGCTCAAGCACCCTCTCATTGGAGCCCAAGTGGCTCTGCAGCGAACAGTGTCTCAAATTATCTGCAATGTAAGTAAAGTAATCTTGTTTTCACTTTAAAATGTAGACATTTGGACTAGGAACAAGACAAAAATTCAAGTAAAACCCAAGTTAAGAATGGGTTTTGTCTTGTAACATATCATATAATTTCTGTATAAATACAGATATTTAAATATAATTCTTTAGCTCCTGTTCAACTATAATCCAGACTTAACATTGCGCATATTGCAATGTGACTATTGTGGATGCGCACATTGCAATATCAATGCTCAAACAATATATTGTGCAGCCCTACACTATATACTAATTCAAATGCATGAACAGAATAAACCAAGTACTCAAATTTAATCTCTTTTACAAAAGAAAGAATGCTTCGAAAAAATATAATGTCATAATTGTATTAAAGATATTTTAAATTAATTATATAAGAAAACAACTTTAAACAACAACTCAATATAAAATATTATATCAAAGCATCATTGAAAAAACTAATGCTACATAATAAGCGAGCAAGCAATATGCAAACTTGTTTTTTTTAACATGTCTATTGCAATGAATGACATTTTAATATTTCCACCATAAAATATTGCATGCATAATTAATGTTAATTTCTTATTATTAAATACTTTATTTAATTATTCATTCATTCTTTCACTCATTTATTTCTATGCTGTCCTTTGCAGCCCACATGGTCATCATATCGGCTTGGTGCCATAATGCAGTCAAACACCACATCCTCCTGCCCATGCCCCAATGGAACAGTGAAAGAGAGAGAGTCTGTATGCACAAATATACTTACCAATGTATTTCTCAGGACAGTCAATATTACTGTGTTCTGACATTCTCTATAAACAAATGAAAATGAGTACAGTAGAATTAGTGGAACAGATGAAGCTAAAGTTTCTAAACTGAAAATACAAATTCTAATTAAATTTGGGCACACGAAAGTGATATAAAATACTGGGTAATACTGGACATTTGAGCAGTCAGATAAAGCAGATTTTGTAGACTCTGATAGGGTGAGTGTCAATCAGCTTTGTCATGAATCAGTAGACTGTTTACAGGAATTCAGTCATTGGTAAGGTCTTTGGTTCACCACTTTGGGACACTGGGCACAACATGGGAACATTCTCAATGTACAACATCAAGAGTAGAATTTATGAACAACAGCAGAACTGATCATGGCCACATTTTTATGTTTTAAAATTACATTAAATAGTTTAATGTTTTGAGGACCAGCAATATTTCAATCATTAATCGATTGTTAATGTTAGTTAGAATGTCATGTACTTGTCTAACAATGTTAATTTATGGTTAAATATTATATACATACAACAGTGTTTTTTTAAGTCTCTTGTATGTCCTTATTTTGGTAAGTTGGTTTAAGTTTTGTGCTTAAGCATTTCTGTTAAAGTCTGTGTTAAAATCTAAATTTAAATTGTTTATTTTGCTAGGGCACATTGTCATTGTTTCTGTAAACATTTAATCCACCTAAAATTAATCCATTAAAAACATGTTTGTTTTGGTAATCTTCAATACATTTTTGACTATTTGCTTCTGTGTTTGGAGAAACCATTGATGTTGGACGGCTTCAGCCATGATATTCCTAACCACAGCCCTCTTGCCATTAGTTAACTATGAGGCAAATATGTGCAAAAAGAAACCCCGACCCCTATTCAATATTCCGTTTCACGTGGAATTACATCAACATTCTAAAATAAAAGTCTAAAAAGAAATTTGCGTACCTCACTAACTTTAAGGGATTAACATTAAGCATTGATGCTCCATGATTCATGGTAAATTACAGGACTTTTCAGGAAGTTTTACTTTAATTCAGTTGAAGTTTATTTGTGTCACTATCACTATCACCAATGATCTAGCCTGTGCAGATCCCTGGAGAACATAAAAAATGAAATACAACTCCCAGAAGTTTTTGCACTCACACACCAGTTCCTAACTCCCCGTGGTTACACACACAGCTGGAAGCTCATGTTGGACTGATTACTAGGACTATAAAGACACCTTATTCACACACTCTTTGCTGAGTCTTGTAAACTGTAAGTGAGAATTTCATTTCCTTGTCCTGCTTTCCATATTTTTTGAGCTTTGTTTATTGTTTTATGTTGTTCTGTCACAACCTTTCACCTGTACTCTGACTCTGCTTTTGGATTATTTGCATGCTTCTGCATGTGCCTGTTTTGACCTTTGTCTGCCTGACGATTCTCTTAATAAACTGCATTTGGATCCTTACCTCTGTTGCAACCCAACTCATTACCATTTGTATATCGCTTTTTATAATAATTATTGTTTCAAAGCAGCTTTACAAGAAGTGCACATTATTACAGCAATGTTATTTGTAATGTATTAGTAGCCATAACTTTATTAGTTATTAATAACTTTCACTAATTAATTTAACTAATTACTAATAGTTTTTAACAGTTAGGAGGTTAAAAAGTTATAAAGTATAAAGGGGATGTCTATGTGTACATGTTCAATGGATTGAACGTTTCTGTGCACTAAAAAAAAATTCAATTTGGACAGCGCTTAAGATGTCTGAATCGCTGATCAGTGCCCTATTAAATGAGAGAGCTGATTGAGACACATCCATAGACACACAGTACCATACCTGATGATGTCAGCGGCCTGCTCTGTAGAAAGATCTTCAACAGTAATGTTGTTTATTTTGAAAAGTTGGTCACCAGGAACCAGCTTTCCATCAGCAGGGCCTCCTATTTAAAAAAAAAAAAGGCAATCGTTCATGACAATTTAGCTGTCAGTCTGTTTTAGAACTAAATTGTCATAATTTCCATTTTACCAAATTTGTTGTTCTAGTTAGTGGTTAGTTATTTGGCTGTGGGGTAACCAGATGGCTTCAGCTATTCTAGGGCTTCCTGCAGACACTTTAATGTGCCAAACCAGTCAGCCAAAATGTTGCTGTACATGGAGCCAACACAAAGGTTTCAACACTCAAACCTGTGATCGGGGATTATTTATAAATTTGTAATCTGGTTTTAAATTGCTATAGACCCTAACACTTTACATGAAAGGACCAATTGTTCTAATTATTAAACAAATCAAAGGGACAGCCTAACCAAAGATTGATAATTTAATCATTATTTACTCACTCTAATATAATAAAAAATAATATAAAAATGATGCGTGAACCATCCATTGTTTTTTACTGGAAAAATACATGCTGTAATTGTAAAATTGTAATGACGTGAATAAATCTGACCACAAAACCTGTTGATGTTTGTTAAAATTGAGATTAATATGTGATTTGGTCTTGCACTGATGTACGTTTATAGTATTGGACAATATTTAGGCAAGATATGATTATTTGAATATTTGGAATGTCTATAAATCAAAATATTGAGAATATCACTTATGTCCAAAATAAGTACTTATAATACTATACATTTATATTAAAAGTAATATGATAAGCAATGCCTATTAATAATCAAAAATTAAGTTTGGATATATTTACAGTTGGGCAACGCAGTGGCGCAGTAGGTAGTGCTGTCGCCTCAAAGCAAGAAGGTCACTGATTCGAGCTGTGGCTGTGTCAGTTGGCGTTTCTGTGTGGAGTTTGCATGTTCTCCCTGCGTTCGCGTGGGTTTCCCCCACAGTCCAAAGACATGCGGTACAGGTAAACTAATTTGCCTTGAATTGGCTAGGCTAAATTGTCTATAGTGTATAAATGTGAATGAGTGTGTATGGATGTTTCCCAGAAATGGGTTACAGCTGGAAGGGCATCCACTGGGTAAAACATATGTTGGGTAAGTAGGCGGTTCATTCCGCTGTGGCGATCCCAGATTAATAAAGTGATTAAGCCCAAAAGAAAATATATCAAATAATGAATTAATATATTTACAGTTGGAAATTTACCAAATGTTTTCATGGAACGTGATTGTTTTATTCTGATGATTTTTGGCATAAAAGAAAAATTTGTAATTTTGACCCAAATAATTCCCAAATTTCCCCAAAAATACCCATATGACTTAAGACCAGTCCAGAGTCATAAAAAACTATACAAATAAAAAAAAAATTAAGTGAACTATCCATACAACATTTTAACCTTTTGTTACTGTAATAATAAAGTAAAAAAAAAAGTTCAGTATATAAACAAAAGTTAAAGTCTTTAACGCGCTATATACACAGCTATAGTTTTTCAGCCAATGATGAACATTCTGTAAAAGGTTTAAAAGAAACTGTAATTTCAATAATCTCCTTATTTAATAAACATGTAGAAGAAAAAATTATATTTAATGCAGTGTTTCTTTTTTGGTCTTGGACTTTATATTGAATCTCAGCCAGGCAGTGAAGATCGCTGTTTTTTAAAGAAATTGAATGGCAATTAACCGGAAGCCCTAGGGCTAGCTGACTGAATTTAAAAGTCTGTGTGCAACTGTGCATATACCCCATTTGTTAGTAAATGTTTAGATAAATCGTTAATATTAATAAATGCTAATTAGTAGCGTTGTTCATTGTTAAGAAATAAAAGCTTATTGTAAAAGCAGGTGTTTTTTTATGTAACTACCTGTTTGAAACTATTTTTGAAGATTTAGAGTGATCTGGCTGAAGTTTCTTTGAACAATAAAAGTATTACGGCAATTTCCTTTATTTTTGCAATAATGGAACCTTGTTTTGTAGCTAATGCAATGTAGCTGTTTTATTGATTTTGATGAAGGCTTTGTGTGCTGTGTAATCAAAATGTATCTTACAAAATGTAAATCTTAGCAAGGTTTTTTTTTTAATCCGCAGTTTACGGCCAGTGGCTCTCTACCTGTTATCCTTGTAAATGTATTCACAGCATCTAATGGAAGCTTGTTGGAAGTCACACAGTTAAGCCTTGAAGGTAACCAAGTCCACCTGGCTAATATCAAGTGCTTAGCTTCAGTGTGTTCATTCCACGTGAGGAAGAGAGGCTGCCAATAGTTCAGAGCAGTATAGGCATTAAATTCAAAATATAATATATTATAGTGAATAATATTTTAAAAAGTCTGATTATTATATTCATTCATTCATTCATTCATTTTCTTTTCGGTTTAGTCTCTTTATTAATCAGGGGTCACCACCGCAGAATGAACCGACAACTTATTCAGCATATTTTTACACAGCGGATGCCCTCCCACCCGCAACCCAACATTGGGAAACACCCATACACTTTTTCATTCACACACATACACTATAGCAAATTTAGTTTATTCAGTTCATTTATAGCGCATGTCTTTGGACTGTGGGGGAAACTGGAGCATCTGGAGTAAACCCACACGAACACAGTAGAACATGCAAACTCCACATAGAAATGCAAACTGTGTGACCCACACGTGTGACCCACTGCGCCACAGTGACGTCCTAATTATTTTATATACATATATAATAATTATATACACACCTGTGATAAAATCCTGTCCTTAATATTAATACAAATTTTGAATGATTAATTAGATCAATATTTTCTAAATGACCTTTGTTATTAATACAAGGTTAGAAAATCTACACTAGTGGTCACTAAACTTGTTCCTGGAGGGCCGGTGTCCAGCAGATTTTAGCTCCAACTTTAATTAAACACAAAAGATCAACCTAATGAAAAGCCTGATCTAAACACTCTAGCAGTGAAAAACCCCACTGTGCCTTTAACAAAATAAGAGAAAAATTACAAATAGCATGCTATTTTTATTTACTTCTGTCTAGACATGGGACGATAAACAGTTTCAAGGTTTACCGCAGTTTGAAAGAGTCAAGGTTTTAAAACCGCTAGAATTTTCTGATATAACGTTCCTAAAGTATTTGTACAGTTTTTATTTTTTATTTTTTTGCAACTATTTTATTTAGTTTGTTAGGGCAACAGTATCTCCAGCAGAAAATGACCACCCGCATCAAAAGCTACTGTTCCAAAATATTCAAACTGTTAAAATATATATAAATAAAATAAAATATAATAAAATAAAACATATTGTGTTCAACGGAGGAAAAGTTTTTTTTTTTTTTTTAAAAGAACATATTTTAGAGTAGTACAACACCATAATACTGTGATATTTTTATCCAAGGTTATCATACGTTACAATCTTGTACAATGTCTTGCGGCCCATGTCTGTCCTGAGTCATACATTTTACATAAAATGTTTACATATCCAAGACAAAATTGTTTAAAAATATTGTTAAAAGTTTGTTAACCCTTGCTTATATCTTGGAATAACTAAAAAAAGGGATTGAGAAAAACTGTAGGTTCCTGGGGGGTGAAAACTTTTAAACAGGTTGAAGATGTCTAGTTTTTTCTTACTTTGTTGAAATATCATTTAGTACTTTAGTACATTTATTTCCCTTCAGAAATAACAGAAAATACTTGCATGTTTGGCAAAAGACAAATTAAGTACTATTTACCTTGATCCTCAAATTCCAATTTTTTTTACCCCCTGTTCTTAATGCATAATGTTTCCTTCTGGACCATCAGTGAGGGTTTGAACAGTTGTATTTAAGACACTCAGTTGTTTAATTGTCAGTTGTTTAATAAAAAGAGCAAAAAGATGGATCTGAAAATCATAATCACTGCTGTAAAGGGTTCAAATATGCAAAGATTCCGGAAAACTGAGGCATTTGCAGGACAAGGAGGATATGTCTGAAGAACAGCAAAACAAAGGTCTCGTAAACATAGAAAAACCAAGTTTTAAAACTTCAGAGGTTATTTTATTAATTTTTGTCATTTATTTATTGTCTTGTCAATTATATATGTAAATATCTTTTATGTAATATTTCTTATTCAGAACAGTACTCGACAAAATAATAATAATAATAATAATATGCAGTTTGCATGACATCTCTTGTTAAACTTATTAACATGCTGCTTGAAGGTTTACAAACTTACTGCAATATATTAACAAAATATGATGATTGTGTGTGTGATGTACCTTCTGTCACGTCCAGCACCTGTGGTGGAGTGTGTGTTGATACAGTAAAACCATGGGAGTTAAGGGTGGAGTCAAGAGGGATTTTAACAGTGACTCGAAGAGTGCAGCTCCTCTGCTCCTGAGAGCCATTGTCAGTAACCTGTCCATCTTCTAATACACGCTCTCTGTGTACAGACAGTGTGTGTGAGAGGGAGATACAGTAATCTTGTTTAAATACAAAATAAAAGAAAATGTTTTACACCATACAATGTAAGAAAGTAAGTGTTACCGGCTGATGGACTCTCTGGAGCGGCGAAGCCAGCGTCCCACCACCTGCTCTACTCTGCTGGTCCTGCGAGATGGTGAGCGACTGCGGTCCCGCTCCTCCATTTAGCTAAACACTGAGTAAAAGCTCACCATTGGACCACTAAGTAGTGAAAAGAAAAAGGGTAAACATTAAAATATTTCAATTTACCTTTCAATCAACATCTATCCATCCATCTACACAGTAAAAAATGCTGGGTTTCACCTAATTACTTCATGTTGTCCCAACACAAACCGATTAAGTTAAATTACTTTAAAAAATTTAAGTGAATTGAACATAAAACAATTAAGTTGTCCTATCTATCTATCTATCTATCTATCTATCTATCTATCTATCTATCTATCTATCTATCTATCTATCTATCTATCTATCTATCTATCTATCTATCTATCTATCTATCTATCTATCTATCTATCTATCTATCTATCTATCTGTTTGTCTGTCTGTCTGTCTAATTTATTTATCTGTTTGTCTGTCTAATCCGTCCATCCATCCATCCGTCCGTCCGTCCGTCCGTCCGTCCGTCCGTCCGTCCGTCCGTCCGTCCGTCCGTCCGTCCGTCCGTCCGTCCGTCCGTCTGTCTATCTATCTATCTATCTATCTATCTATCTATCTATCTATCTATCTATCTATCTATCTATCTATCTATCTATCTATCTATCTCTGTTTGTCTGTCTGTCTGTCTGTCTAATCTGTCCGTCCGTCCGTCCGTCCGTCCGTCCGTCCGTCCGTCCGTCCGTCCGTCCGTCCGTCTGTCTATCTATCTATCTATCTATCTATCTATCGATCGATCGATCGATCGATCTATCTATCTATCTATCTATCTATCTATCTATCTATCTATCTATCTATCTATCTATCTATCTATCTATCTATCTATCTATCTATCTATCTATCTATCTATCTATCTATCTATCTATCTATCTATCTATCTATCTATCTATCCGTCTTTCTTAATAAGTAGATTAATTGATTAATAGTTATAACAAATTAACATTATATATCTTAAAGAATTTATTTCGTTTGATTTATGGGGGAAGGTGGGTTCAGAACAAACAATGTTTTTTTTTGTTTTTTTTTTGAAAATTTTACTTTCATTTACAGAAGACATCACTATTCAGGGTAACAACAATAGTTTATGTAATTAAAAACAAACTTGTTAAGTATATTTAGTTTACGAATGATATCCCTAAAACCATTTGATATTAATCCTTCGTCAGCAAGATGTTATTAATTTAAATACAATTTCAATACAACCCATAACAGACAATACTGAATGTGGAAATTATTGAAATAGTTTAAAATCTGAAGAAATCTTCAAATATTTTAGATCAAAGGTCATTAAATAACAACAGGTTATATGCTGTATATATGTTTTAATTTCTAATGTATGGTCTTTTAATCTCTGCAAAAAGCCGATATAATATCTCCTTTGGTCAATTAACTAAGCAAAATAAGCAAAATTGTATGTAAATGGTGCACATCTGTGACTGTTTATAACATTTCTCTACCCACATCCTGTATCATCATATAGGACAACACTTATTCAGGTTGAGCATTTACAGTATACTCATAATGGGCAAGCAATATTGTGTGTGCAGCAGTACTGATAATGTGTGGTCACCTTATTTTTTTATTACAGTGCTATAAAAGATTGTTTTTATGATGCAGTTTTTTTATATATTGTGTTCATGTTGCAGCATTGCTTTTGATGAAGGGTGCTTGTATCAAATATGCCCCACTAGGGAATGTGAGAGACAATCTGGAGCCACATGGTCAAAAGAGAAGGATCAACAAAGACAAAGAGGCAAATAAAATAAACTGTGACAAAAAAAAGCGAGAGGGAGATCTCAGGAGATCATGAGTCATGAACACATTATGTTCTCAAATTTCACAGGATTGTGATCTCACTTTACATTTTTTTACTGCTGTCGGCCTCGTTATCACTGCTGCAAACATCATATCAAAGGCTAGCATAATTCTGACTGGATGCGCAATAGTAACATGCCCACATTTACAACACCCTTGAAATAATTATATGCTTAAAAAGCTAAACCAACCAGTAACATTACAACCATTAATTCATTGAGTATCGCATTATGGTACAAATGTCTCATGAGAATGTCTCACATTCACTGCTCCTGGATGGTGGAATGATCTTTATACCCTATCTCAAAATGCTGGATCACTGACAGACTTAAAGAGATAACTGATCTCTTTTGTGACCATTTGACAACTCTACCCAACTCCAACTCTTTTTTTGTAGAATAAAATTGACATAATCAGGCAGATGCATGCATGGACATATACCTAGGTAAAAACCTTACATATAAATAAAATTGTGAAGTTAGCACATGTACAGTGCATTTGGAAAGTATTCATAGTGCTTTAATTTTTCCACATTTTAAATGTAACAGCCTTAATCAAAAATGGATTAAATTAATTTATTTCCTCAAACTTCACACACACAATACCCCATAATGACAATGTTAAAAAAAATTTTTTAATTGTTTATTTAAAAAAAAAAAATCACAGTTCCATAAGTATTCACAGTCTTTGCCATGAAGCTCTAAATTGAGCTCAGGTACATTCTGTTTCCACAGATCACTCTTGAGATGATTCAGCAGCTTTACTGGAGTTCACCTGTGGTAAATTCAGTTGATTGGACATAATATGAAAAGGCATACACCTGTCTATATAATGACCCGTTTCCACTCGGTGGTACGTTACAGTACGGTACGGTTTGGTATGCTTTTATGGCTGTTTCCATTGTCAAAAGGCATACCAAACCGTACCGTACCATTTTTTCGGCACCCTTTCGAAAGGGTACCAAACACGAGAAAGGGTACCAAAAGGCGGAGCTAGACTAGAGAAACGTCATTCGCTTACACAACAAGCCAGAATGAAAACAATAGAGCTGCCCTGTTTAAAACACACAGCTGAGAGATCTTTTACAGCTCAAATACATATAATAATGAGCCATGGTCGACCCGGGCTCAAACAAACCTTGTCGTCATCTTGATGAACAGCCACAAAGCCAAAAAGAAGAGCACGTTTACCCTGTGCCTCTCAGTTTTTCACGAGCCAGTCTGAAGCACCAGCGGTTTCGCTTTCATGCTTGCACTCACGTACGCGTCTATATCTGAAATAACAAACTTCTTGAGCTGATGATAATAACGTGCGCTTGATTATTGACATGCTTTTGAAACCCGATCCTGTCGGAGACTGACAAACACGAAAGTGACGAATTCAAAAAGAAAAGGACAATTGCGAGAGTGAAGCGCGAACAAAGGAGAAGCCTGACAAAACTCAGGAGCAAATTGTTTCAGCAACCTGAATCACGAAAAAACTGCCATGTTTATCATCGCCTTCTGGACTATTACAAATTCGGAATGACATAATTACTCTCTAACAGGGGTCACATGTGCTAATGAAGATTAAAGACATAGATGAGAGATTTGCACTGACTGTGGGCTATGTTGCGTGATGGTTATGAACCTAAATAAGGACTAAATGTTTGCTGTGTGTAGTTATTCTGTAGTTAGTAACATATCGGAGACTGTATATGTGTTCATATTGGCTGCATTTATATATTTATTTTAATTATTGGAGACGTTACAGTAGGTAGTATTTATTTTAGTCATTGATATGCAGTTATAATCAAATCATGTTCATAGAAAGGTTAGTCGTAAACATTTATAAACAAGTATTTATGTGTATAAAGCATCTGTTTTGTGAGAAGTGCTTCTCATATGATTTGTGGACAACCTGTACAGCTTTACTGTTGACATTTATTCGAGTGAGAATGACATCGATTGTAACTCTCTGTCGTACACCACGCCCACCAAAAGTGTACCCTTGGTAGTGGAAACGCAACCCTGATAAAGGTGACCCGTACCGAACCGTACCGTACTGTACCACTCAAGTGGAAATGAGCCATAAGGTCTCAGGGTTGACAGTGCATCTCAAAGCACATACCAAGCATGAAGACAAAGGAATTGTCTGTAGACCTCCCAGACAGGATTGTCTACAAGGCTGAGGAAAGTTACAGAATAATTCTGCTGCTCTGTCAGTTCCTATGAGCACATTGGCCTCCATCATCCGTAAGTGGAAGATGTTTGAAATAACAAGACTCTTCCTAGAGCTGGCCGGCCATTTAAGCTGAGTGATCAGGGGGGAAGGACCTTAGTCAGGGAGGTGATCAATAACCCGATGGTCAATCTGTCTGAGCTCCAGCGTTCTTCTGTGGAGAGAAGAAAATCTTACAGAAGGACAACCATCTGTGCAGCAATCCACCAATCAGGCCTGTATGGTAGAGTAGCCAGATGGAATCCACTCACCGCCTGGAATTTGCCAAAAGGCAAGAAACAAAATTCTCTGGTCTGTTGAGACTACAATTTTACTTTTTGGAGTGAATGCCAGGCATTACTTCTCGGAGAAAACCAGGCACCGCTCATCACCAGGCTAATACCATCCCTACAGTGGAGCATGGTGGTGGCATCATGCTGTGGGGATGTTTTTCAGCAGCAGGAACTGGAAAACTAGTCTGGATAGAAAGAAAGATGAATGCAGAAAGAGACATCCTAATTGAAAACCTGCTTCAGAGTGCTCTTGACCACAGACAGGGGCGACGGTTCATCTTCCAGCAGGACAATGACCCAAATCACACCGCCAAAATATCAATGGCTTCACAACAACTCGGTTAATGTCCTCGAGTGGCCCAGTTAGACCCAAGACCTAAATCCTATTGAACATTTCTGGAGAGATCTGAAAATGGCCGTACCATCGCTTCCCGTCCAAGCTGATAGAGTTTAAGAGGTACTGTGAAGAGAAATGGGCAAAAATTCCCAAAGACAGGTGTGCCAAGCTTGTGGCATCATATTCAAAAAGACTTAAGGCTTAATTTCAAAAAATCTTTTTCACATTGTCATTATGGAGTATTGTGTGTGGAATTTTGGAAATAAATTAATTTAATCCATTTTGGAATAAGGCTGTAACATAAATAAATGTGGAAAAAGTGAAGCGCTATGAACACTTTCCAGATGCACTGTAAGTGAAGCTGAAGTGGATATGTGTACATTAAATTAATTACATTTAATTAA